TCCCCTGAAAACCCGCCCACAAGACCTGACAACTAGCCCAAAAAGGTTTTTTCGCAGCAAAAGGGGAGTTGCCACATTTATCCAATAAATCCTTTATCCATAACGTTATCGAGCAAATTAAGAAAGAATATCGACGTCATTTTTAACAAAAGTAGGCTAAGAAGCAAAATTCGTTTTTTCCATCTAAATTATAATTATTGCGAGTTTAAGAATATGTCAATGTGTCAATTTATCAATGGATGTCAATTTAACCGGTTTTGACCGCTATGATTAAGCAATAAGGCCAGAGGTGGTGTGGTATATGGCCAATATACCACGGCTAAGTTGCTGTTCTTATGACATAGCCCTTAGCCGTGGTATATTGGCCATATACCACAAACCCCTGAGGTGCCTTATTGCTATTATAAACTGGTTACCAATGTAATTAAAACAGTAAAAAGTATTTTTTGTTATTCCCGTGGTACACGGTCTGATATACCATGGCTTTCAACCAATCAGCATTCAGGGGCTCAAACCACCCAGTTTATAATTGTAAATAAATCATGTTTGTGCATAGCTATAGATAAATCCAACAGGAGAGTTTGAGTGATGAAAGATGGACAGAGGATCTCGAAATCTCTGTGCAAGAAACCCTTGGACGAAAAAAAAAAAAAAAAGTTAGGCTATTTCCTGGTAATTGTGCCGTTATTATGTTCCAGATGTTAAGACTACAAACCGTTATAAATGGCCCATTTGCGAGATTTACTTATTATTTAAAATAGGCATAGGCTAGTGACTAAAATCTGGGTTTATAATTGCAATTCAATTTTGCCATAGTTTGCTGAGCTAGATGCAGCTAGCCTATAGCCCCTGATAGGCCTACATCTAATTTCAGGGAAAAAAGTCCACAATGAAACTGACATTACGCTGACAAACCGTTATAAAATGGCCTAACAGAAGCGGGCGAGGGAGTTCCATAACTTCCATTTCAAATGTCCAATCGCGCAGCGCTCCACACCCTAAAACTGAGCATGAGTAAAACCCTTCGCGTGATACGGTTATCCATAAGAAAAGTCGACATTAGAATGCAGTTTACTTTAAACCACCTCTGGGTGAATTTATCTAAAAGAGCTCTACAGTTCTCGCCCGTTTTAATATGTTTTAATGGAAAAAGGGTGTCTCCATAATGAACGCAACATGTAAAGTGTTGGTCGCATGTTTCATGAGCTGAAATAAAAGATCCCAGACATTTTTCATAAGCACAAACAGCTTATTTCTCTCAAATTTTGAGCACAAATTTGTTTACATCCCTGTTAGTGAACATTTCTCCTTTGCCAAGATAATCCATCCATTTGACAGGTGTGACATATCAAGAAGCTGATTAAACAGCATGACCATTACACAGGTGCACCTTGTGCTGGAGACAATAAAAGGCCATTATAAAATGTGCAGTTTTGTCACACAACACAATGCCACAGATATCTCAAGTTTTGAGGGAGCGTGCAATTGGCATGCTGACTGCAGGAATGTCCACCAGAACTGTTGCCAGAGAATTGCATGTTCATTTCTCTACCATAAGCAGCCTCCAACGTCGTTTTAGAAAATTTGGCAGTACGTCCAACCGGCCTCACAACCGCAGACCAAGTGTAACCACGCCAGCCCAGGACCTCCACATCCAGCTTCTTCACCTGCGGGATCGTCTGAGACCAGCCACCCGGACAGCTGATGAAACTGTGGGTTTGCACAACCGAAGGATTCCTGCACAAACAGTCAGAAACCGTCTCAGGGAAGCTCATCTGGGTGCTCGTCGTCCTCACCAGAGTCTTGACCTGACTACCAGTGTGGCGTCGCAACCGACTTCAGTGGGCAAATGCTCACCTTCGATGGCCACTGGCACACTGGAGAAGTGTGCTCTTCACGGATTAATCCCGGTTTCAACTGTACCGGGCAGATGGCAGACCACAAAGTCCTGGAAGCTGAAAATGCCCCAGTTCTTCCATGGCCTGCATACTCACCACACATGTCACCCATTGAGCATGTTTGGGATGCTCTGGATCGACGTGTACGACAGCGTGTTCCAGTTCCCGCCAATATCCAGAAACTTCACACAGCCATTGAAGAGGAGTGGAACAACATTCCACAGGCCACAATCAACAGCCTGATCAAACTCTATGCAATGGAGCTGCATAAGGCAAATGGTGGTCACACTAGGTACTGACTGGTTTTCTGATCCACGCCCCTGCTTCTTTTGTTGTGAGGTATCTGTGACCAACAGATGCATATCTGTATTCCCAGTCATGTGAAATCCATAGATTAGGGCCTAATTTATTTATTTGAATTGACTGATTTCCTTATATGAACAGTCTTTGAAATTGTTGCATGTTGTGTTTATATTTGTGTTCAGTGTATATTGATTAGATAAGTATTCAACCCCCTGAGTCAATACATGTTAGAATCACCTTTGGCAGCGATTACAGCTGTGAGTCTTTCCTGGGTAAGTCTCTAAGCTTTGGATTGTACAATATTTGCACATTATTCTTTAAAAAATTATTCAAGTTCTGTCAAGTTGATCATTGCTAGACAGCCATTTTCAAGCCAAAACTGTAACTAAGCCACTCAGGAACATTCTATGTCATCTTGGTAAGCAACTCCAGTGTAGATTTGGCCTTGTGTTTTAGGTTATTGTCCTTCTGAAAGTTTAATTAATCTCCCAGTGTCTGTTGGGAAGCAGACTGAACCAGGTTTTCCTCTAAGATTTTGCCTGTATAGCTGTATTTTGTTTCTTTTTATCCTTAATAAAACTCCCTAGACCTTGCCGATGACAAGCATACCCACAACATGATGTAGCCACCACCATGCTTGAAAATATGAAGAGTGGTACTCAGTGATGTGTTGTGTTGGATTTGCCCAAAGCATAATGCCTAGTATTCTGGACATAAAGTTAATTTCTTTGCCACATTTTTTGCAGTTTTACTTTAGCGCCATATTGCAAACAGGAAGCATGTTTTGGAATATTTTTATTCTGTACAGGCTTCCTTCTTTTCACTCTGTCAATTAGGTTAGTATTGTGGGGTAACTACAATGTTGTTGATCCATCCTCAGTTTTCTCCTATCACAGCGATTAAACTCTGTATCTGTTTTAAAGTCACCACTGGCCTCATCGTGAAATCCTTGAGCGGTTTTCTTCCTCTACAGCAACTAAGTTAGAAAGGATGCCTGTATCTTTGTAGTGACTGGGTGTATTGATACACCATCCAAAGTGTAATGAATAACTTCAACATGATCAAAGGGATATTCAATGTCTGCTTTATTTTTTTTTTCATCTACCAATAGGTGCCCTTCTTTGCGAGCCATTGGAAAACCTCCCGGGTCTTTGTGGTTGAATCTGTGCTTGAAATTCACTGCTCGACGGACGTACCTTACAATTATCTGTATGTGTGGGATACAGAGATGAGGGAGTCATTAAAAAAATAATGTTAAAGACTACTATTTCGGTGAGTCCATGCAACTTATGATGGGACTTGTTAAACAAATTTGTATTCCTGAACTTATTTAGGCTTGCCATAACAAAGGGGTTGAATACTTGTTGACTCAAGACAATTCAGCTTTTCATTTGTAATTAATTTGTCAAACAAAATTAAAAACATAATTCCAATTTAACATTATTGTGTGTAAGCCAGTGACCGATTTAATTAAAATGTAATTAATTTAATCAATTGTAAATTCAGGCTGTAAAAAAGTCAAGGGTTGTGAATGCTTTCGGTGTGACCGACAGAAAGGGAACTGATATCAGCACTCCTACTCTGTACCATTGTGGATTGGTGCTACAGGAAAATAATTAAGTGGAAATGGCGTGGCAGTACAATTATGGATATTACATGGTGCTTTCAGCCTTTCAGAGACAAAGGAAGTCTTACAACAGAGCACACTGGTCTATGTGTGCTCATCATTCAATAGGCTCAGTTCAAGTCTCACTTGTTCATTTAATGAATGCTTTCCTTGTTCAGAATTATCTTGAAACTTTAGCAAAAAAAATTCTCAAGCAGCATGCACTTGGCATGAAAACCAAGAACACCACAATAAGAATGTTGAAATTAGAATGATAAAAGAAAAACTCCCGTGCGCTCTATGCAGCTGTATCCATTTCCTGTCACATATATGATCACTGCTGCTACTAAACTGTTCTCCAGTAGTTTCCGGAGTTGCGCTATGAATCTTGCGTCTGACTCTTAGAAAAAAAAAAAAAAAACTACTACTACTACTACTACAGCTTTTCTTCTGATTTCTTCAACAGTTCTTCTGTATTCGGTCTCTCGTTCGTTACTTAGCAATAGCGTGCACTACCTGTAACAGAGCGTGTTTGTGCCTCTGTGGCCGTGAGATCCAGAGCCTAGATCACTGTGAGTTCTGTGTGTCAGTAGGGACTATTTGGGATGTATCCGGAGAGGAAGCAGTATACCATGAACTAAAAAAAGCTTGTTGGTCATTTTTGGGAGCAGAGATTTCACCTTTCCTTTTTTTTGGAAATAGTCATGACAGGAGCGGAAGCAGGATGACGAGGGAGGGTCGTGGAGGTGGAGGTGGCTGTCTGGGACTCCCAGGGATGTTACGAGTGTTCTTGGCGGGGACGTGTGCTCTGACGGTCCTGAGCTCCGCAGGCTTGGTGTTCCTCCTGGTGCAACACAGGCACCTATCGGCCCACCTGGCCCGGTTGGATCTACAACTGCAGGTGCTCTCAGAGACCTCTGGCACCGTGCTGCGTCATTCTGCAGCAGCATCCCTCAGGACCAGCAGGGACCCTGGAGAGGAAGCTTCCCACAGGATCAGCAGGGACCCTGGAGAGGAAGCTTCCCACAGGATCAGCAGGGACCCTGGAGAGGAAGCTTCCCACAGGATCAGCAGGGACCCTGGAGAGGAGACTGATGGGGTACAGGTGCTCTCAGAGGACTCTGGGTTGCAGACATCACCCCACAGGACCAGCAGGGAGGACCCAGGCAGAGAGGCAGAAAGGGAGCTGCAGCATAGCCGACCCCGCGGTAAGAGGAGCCAACATGGCCGACCCCGCGGTAAGAGGAGCCAGCTGCGGGAACACCAGCATAGCGACGCAGGGAAAGTGAGACGGGGGACATGATGATGATGATGACATACTCCATGGTCCCGGTAAGAATCCTCCAAAAATATTTACTACATTAATTATAGACAGTATGTTATAGTTATTTATATTAGGTTATAGTTAGTATAGTAGGTTAGTTATAGTTAGTTAGTAGGTTAGTTATAGTTAGTTATAGTAGGTTAGTTATAGTTAGTTATAGTAGGTTAGTTATAGTTAGTTATAGTAGGTTAGTTATAGTTAGTTATGAGGTTAGTTATAGTAGTTATAGTAGGTTAGTTATAGATAGTAGGTTAGTTATAGTTAGATAGTAGGTTAGTTATAGTTCATAGGTTATTCAGTAGGTACTGTAGGAGTAAGCTTAAGAGGTAGTAAGTGATGAGAGGTAGTTCAAGGTATAGTCAGGGATGGAGAGGTAGCTTCCAAGGACAAGGTCAGTATGGACCTGGTAGTATAGTGTATGTGGTATAGTTGTTAGAGGTTATTTGTGTTAGTGGTTAGAAGTGTACCCCAGAGGCCTAGTAGTAGATACTAGGTAGAAGTGCTAAGAGGTAGTTGAGTCATAGGAAGGTTATAGAGGAGTATATGCCGATCGGGTATTAGTAGTAGGTAGTAAGGGTTAGTCTAGTGGCCGAGGTGTTAAGAGTATAGTCAGTAGTCTACCGTTAGTATAGTAGGTAGTTATAGTTGATGTAGGTTCGATCCGTAGTTAAGAGGAGTCAGTATTGGTAGTACCGGTTAGTAGTAGCAGCTGGAGACAGTAGTAAGCGACAGTCAGAAACGTTGTAAGACGGTGTAATGTATGATGGTATGAAGTACTTCATGTCGGTAGAATCTCCAGAATATTTATACAGTTAGATAGGTTTATGTTATAGTTAGTTTATATTAGTTATAGTTAGTTATAGTTAGTTATAGTAGGTTAGTTATAGTTAGTATAGTAGGTTATTTATAGTTAGTTATAGTAGGTTAGTTAGTTAGTTATAGTAGGTTAGTTATAGTTAGTTATAGTAGGTTAGTTATAGTTAGTTATAGTAGGTTAGTTATAGTTAGTTATAGTAGGTGTAGTTATAGTTAGTTATAGTAGGTTGTTATAGTTAGTTATAGTAGGTTAGTTATAGTTGTTATAGTAGGTTGATAGTTATAAGTAGTTATATAGTTAGTTATAGTGTTGTTATAGTTAGTTATAGTAGGTTAGTTATAGTTAGTTATAGTAGGTTAGTTATAGTTAGTTATAGTAGGTTAGTTATAGTTAGTTATAGTAGGTTAGTTATAGTTAGTTATAGTAGGTTAGTTATAGTTAGTTATAGTAGGTTAGTTATAGTTAGTTATAGTAGGTAGTTATAGTTAGTTATAGTAGGTTAGTTATATAGTTGTGTTTATAGTAGGTTAGTGTATAGTTAGTTATAGTAGGTTAGTTATAGTTAGTTATAGTAGGTTAGTTATAGTTAGTTATTGTAGGTTATAGTTATAGTAGGTTATTTTTGTAATTTAGTGGTAGTGAGTGCATTCGTTTTTACTACTTATTTCCAGTACTGATCCCCCGTGGGAATCGAACCCACAAAACCCTGTTGTTGCAAGCGCCAATGCGCTATCAACTGAGCCACATTGGATCATACCATGGATCATACCATTGGATCACACCATTGGATCATACCATGGGTTATGTGGTATGTGCAGTATAAACTGTAAGAAGACTGTGACCAGCTAGGAATGTCATGGCTTGAGTATTGGGTTTTCTCATGCATGTGTATCATCTATGTCCAACTGTGAATGCATATGAAAAGGATAGGAGATCGGGAAAGTTTAAAACTGATTACAGAACTTCAAGTTATTAGAGAGGTTTTTTTAACAGAGGAAGGAATATTCTCCACATGTCCAGTCATCTCCTCTTCTCAGTCTTCTGGGATTAGCAGAAATGTCCTTCCCACGCCAATAATAATCACAACCGAAGTCTCTGGATATATGATTAAGAGGAGGAAAACTGAGGATGCGTCTGAAATTGAACCCTTTATAGTGCACTACTTTCAGCGTTATGGGGTCCTGGTCAAAAGTAGTGCACTATAAAGGGAACAGGGTGCCATTCGGGGCGCAGCCTGAGCGTTTTTCCAAGTGGTGTTTCCTGGAGAAGTAGGAAAAAACTCGGAGCATGACAGGCTGTCGTTGGATTAGTATGGCAGAGTACCAAGCCACTGAATGTGTCCCAAATTGCACCCTATTCCCTATGTAGTGCACTGGGTTACTGGTCAAAAGTAGTGCACTGTATAGGGAATAGGGTGCAATTTGGGATGCATTCAGTGGCTTGGTACTCTGCCATACTCATCCTATCCTCTGGGCCTTGGCTAAACTACAGAGGGACCCACTTGGCTGGAGAAATGACACAGGAAATTAACATCAAACCGCTGATCAGACAGTCATATGGAAATGAACCACTGGCAGTATTATTAGGTACATGATTCATTTACTTTTCTCTGGCTGCTCTCAACTAATTACCCTTTAAAGCGGACTGGAGCTAAATGGTGAAGTTGCTGTTGTCGTCTTTTGACCCTTTCCTTCTGCCTTTCAGATCAAGGTCCTATTGGAATTATGTAACAGCAGAAAAGACATGTGTTTAACAGGTGTGTTGTTGGAAATATCTCTTCTAGTATCTTGGGTACACGGGTAAGAAGAAACACATTGTTTGAAAACTACAACGATTAAATCAAACATTAGCACCTAATTGAAATACTGTGTGTTGCGGATTGCACACGAAATGGACATGAATATATATATATTTTTTAAAAGGTACATTACTAAACCATTCCTTCCATCCTACATTATAGGACCACCAGGACCTCCAGGTAAAATTAATCAATAACATTTTTCATCAAATCAAAGCATGACAAAAAGGCATATAGTTATTGATGATCAATACACGATGGTGTCTGTCCCAAGGAATTCCAGGTGTGGATGGGAAACCAGGATTCAATGCTACAGATGGTATTCCAGGACCACCTGGAGTTGCAGGGAGACCTGGAAAAAAAGGTAAAAGACACTGTTGGTGGTTTGTGACTTTTCCTTCCATGCATAAGTGCTGTATTATGTAGACCAGTGGAGGCCGTGTCACCTTCAATTGGAGGACTTGTAATTCATTCCATTCCGGCCATTACAACGATTCCATCTTCCAATTCGAAAGTGACACCAGCCTCCACTGGTACAGTACCCAATAACGAAAACAAAATAATTTTTAAAGAAATCTTTCAAAGAATCCATCCATAACTGTCATGATGACCCCCTGCCTGCCCAGGTCCCCCTGGGGAGAGAGGGGAGCCTGGACCTCCAGGACTGAAGGATGAGACCTCCAATGACATCATCATAGAGGGTAAAAGAGTGTAGAGTTCTCATTCTCTTCAAAAATCCATCTCACTAGCTCATCCTACTACATTATCAACTACATCTGAGCTACAAGCACGAATTTTGCAGATATAGCTGCAATTAAAAAAAAAATGTTTTACTTGCAATGATCATAATTGTGGTTGTATTAGATACTGTAAATGTGGTCCTCTGTAGCTCAGCTGGTAGAGCACGGCGCTTGTAACGCCAAGGTAGTGGGGTTCGATCCCCGGGACCACCCCATACACAAAAAATGTATGCACGCATGACTGTAAGTCGCTTTGGATAAAAGCGTCTGCTAAATGGCATATTATTATTATTATTATTATGTTAGTTTCTCTGAGAAGCCTGTTCAGATCCTGTGCCTCTGGTTGTGTTTGAAGGACCTCCGGGACCAAGGGGCCCTCCTGGCCCTGCCGGTCCCCCTGGTCTACCTGGCCCCCCAGCGACCTTAGAGGCCCCAGAACCCTCCAGAAATAGGACCATCCGAGCACACCTGTCGGAGAACGCCTGTCTCCATCAAGCCAACATGTCTGACTCTCTGGGTGAGTACGCTGTCGGAGATTCCACCAACGATGACACGCATTCCACTTCACTGTCAATGCAAAACACTGTTACATTACATCTCTTAGCTTCAGAGAATACAGCCACAAGCAACGACGCCTTGAATGTAACCGACGCAGAGAATGTTAATGGGAACATCCGAGCACACACCCATCAAGCCAACGTGTCTATGGGTGAGCGTACTGTCCCTGGCAGAGATTCCACCAACAAGAACTCAGAATCACTATGTACGAACATACGTTTATTCCTCACTGTAAAATACTATTGCATCTTTCTCCCCTTAGAGTCAGCGAATCCAGCCGCCATTAATGACACGTTGAATGTAACTGACACCGAGAATGTGGAAGCAAATAACCGACAAATGACAGACACAGAGGTTATGGAAGAAGCTCCTTTGAATGTAACTGTCTTAGAGAATTTGAAAGAAACATACACAGAGATTGTGGAAGAAGCCCCTTTGAATGTAACCGTCTTAGAGAATTTGGAAGAAACTTATTTGAAAGAAACATACACAGAGATGGTGGAAGAAGAAAATAACCGACAAATAACAGACACCGAGGTTATGGAAGAAGCTCCTTTGAAAATAACTGACACAGAGAATGCGGAAGAAGCAGCTTTTAGGAAAACTGGTATGAAACTATTTACATCTATAAGGATGTTAGAAGGTGTTGAAATTGTCTTCATAATTGATTGCATTTTATGTACATTTTCAGCAGAAATCTTCTCTGTTCCCCCCAATGACACCTTGAACGTAACCGACACAGAGGATGCAAAAGAAGCACCCGTTTGGAAAGCTGGTATCAAACTATTTCTACATAGGCAACACTGGGGGTTTGAATTGGGATGTTGAAGGTAGATAATTTTTCCTCATAATTGGTTGCATTTTGTCAACAGAAGGCCTTGACGTCTTCCCTGTTCCCACAAATGTAACCCCAACAATTAAAGGTACAGTCTGTAACCTTAGTTTGTACCACTGTACTGTGCCTTCAACCTTTACTCACGAGCACCCCTAGTGGAAACTGTTGCTGAGTGAAGTGTTTTGTCATTTCAAACATTCTTTAATTTCCATGTTTTTCCTTCCGTATCCATATAGAATGCATTATCAAAACCATAACATGCTTTACAAATGTCACTCAAATGGAAACTACATTTGGAGTTTGGATGCAAGACGCAGCCCAGGTGAATGATAACCAGATTTGGATGGCTGAGCACTTTTCAGGTACAGTGCCTTTGGCAAATGGTGAAGGAAATACCCGTAATATTGAGGAAATATGTATTTATAATAGGGAAAACTCAGGGCCAAAGAAAGAAAACAGCTTGGTACAATACATCAAGTTTATATAAGTTGCAACAATGAAGCAATCTCCAGCAGAGCAGAAAGAGACTGTGTGTGGGCGATTTACATTTGGCTTTCAGGTCGAGTCTTACAGGAATACAGGAGCATCGCATCATTTCCCAACAGTAGCAGCAAGTCCATCGACATGAGGAAATTCTACCAGGGCTGTGGCCACGTCATCTACAACGGATCAGTGTACTATCACAATGCAGGAACCTCTAAAGTTGTCAAGTAAGCGTTTCTTCACTGCAGTTTAAAGCAACACGTATCAGATACGTATCCAAAAAAAATCGGAAGTATTTTGTCCCATTCTCAATATTTTTGCTTTTACAGGGATAACCTGAAGACCAGGAGATTACAGACACTGGCCATTGAGAATGCCCTTTACCACAATCTGACCTATCTCTTCCACAACTCCAAGACATACTTTAAGTTTGCCGTGGACGAGAATGGACTGTGGCTCATCTATGCTTCGGTTGTCGAGGAAACCATGATGGTAGCCAAGTTAGACCACAGGAGGTTTTCTGTGTTGTCTGTGGTTGACACGTCCTATCCTCTGTTGAAAGCTGGGAATGCCTTCATTGCACGTGGAGTTCTGTACGTGACTGACACCAAAGACACGAAAATCACACACGCCTTTGATTTAATGAGAGCGAAACCTTTGAATGTAAGTTTGGATCTCAGATCAGCCAATGGTATTATGGCTATGTTGTCATATTATCCCAAAAATCAACTTTTGTATATGTGGGACAACAGCTCTGTGAAAATATGCAAGGCTTATTTTACTTTGGATCAAAAAGTATAGTCAAATCTTATTGGTCGTGGGAGAATTAAACATTCTGCCTATGTCTTGAGCTTATTACATGTCAATGACGTGATCTGTTCATAATATTTTTGAATTTTAGTGTCATAAAATATATATTTTTGTATAATGTAGCATCAATTTTTTATATATGTTTCTTATTCATTTTGTACAATTTTACCAATAAATATGTTTTCTTTTCATCTTTTACTGTAATCCTCAATTCACCTGTAATCCAACCCTCATTCCTGTAATCCAACCCTCATTCCTGTAATCCAACCCTCATTCCCTTTCAAAGTTTGATAATGGGATGACATGACATTAGGTACAGGGGCGTCATGCACCCCAAACATCTGAGGGGCCACAAAGTATGTGAGGATGGATGGGTTGCAGACCCGGGGCCAGGATAAAGTGACTAAAGGGGGCAGTTGAAATCGGTGAAGGGGCACAATTTTGGGAGGGTTTGACGCATTGGAAATATATTGAATTCTGCTTACATCACGCTATACCACAATAAACATGAAGTTCAAATGCCGCGACTCAGAGACCATCGAGTGCTTTTGAAGTGACAGGTTGGCACAATCTGTAGGCTATCTCCGCTGCATCAGCCCAAGGGACAGCACCCTACACACTAAAGCAAGCCTGTTTTGGTAATGAATATAGGCTACAAGATAGATAGGGGTAATTCACGTATTACAGACAGCCTGTGTGAATGCAGCCGTACACACAGCGGCCTTGCCAAAATAATGCAAACTAAATGCTGAAAGTAGTAGCCTAGTTATTCATGCAAAATAAAAACACTGAATAGCAGTTTGGCTTAAGATAACGACAATTGCGAATGCGAACGAAGGAATGCTGTTACGTTCCCCAGCTAGAAAACCAAACAATGTCGCTCAAACAGAAGGGTGAACTAACAGAGCCACTGACAACAACCAAAACTGAGCAGGTGGGGTTCTAGAAGGGGTTCTAGAAGGGGTTCTAGAAGGGGTTCTAGAAGTTGACCAGCAACAACAACTGGAACCTAAAAGACGCCCACCACGAGCGCCCACTAAATTTGCCCAAGAAGAGGCAAACAAAAGAAAAATCCACATCAAACTTAAAGACAGGAAACAAAACAAAACGTTGAGCAAAACAAAAACAGGGAAGATCAGACAAAGGAATGTTTTTCTAGAAATCAACTAGGGCGAGCCAACTAAAGGAGTTAACCCTCCACGTCTCTCAAGACAACTGGAGCACTGGGCCAGCCACTCTTAAACAGCACCTGGGCCAGCACAGGTGAAACACCTTCCCACTAACGAGATGGCAACCAGCACAGGTGTTAAATTTAGAATCGGCTTCCTATTTCGCAACAAAACCTCCTTAACTCATGCTGCCAAACATGCCCTCGTAAAACTGACTATCCTACCGATCCTTGACTTCGGCGATGTCATTTACAAAATAGCCTCCAACACTCTACTCAGCAAATTGGATGTAGTCTATCACAGTGCCATCCGTTTTGTCACCAAAGCCCCATATACTACCCACCACTGTGACCTGTACTCTCTTGTTGGCTGGTCCTCACTACATATTCGTCGCCAAACCCACTGGCTCCAGGCCATCTATAAATCACTGCAAGGCAAATCCCTGCCTTATCTTAGCTCATTGGTCACCATAGCAACACCCACCCGTAGTATGCGCTCCAGCAGGTATATCTCACTGGTCATCCCCAAAGCCAACACCTCCTTTGGCCGCCATTCCTTCCAGTTCTCTGCTGCCAATGACTGGAACGAATTGCAAAAATCTCTGAAGCTGGAGACTCTTATCTCCCTCACTAACTTTAAGCATCAGTTGTCAGAGCAGCTAACCGATCACTGCACCTGTACACAGCCCATCTGAAATTAGCCCACCCAACTACCTCATCCCCATATTGTTATTTATTTTGCTCATTTGCACCCCAGTATCTCTATTTGCACATCATCTCTTGCACATCTATCATTCCAGTGTTAATACTAATTGTAATTATTTTGCACTATAGCCTATTTATTGCCTTACCTCCATAACTTGCTACATTTGCACACACTGTATATATATTTTCTGTTGTATTTTTTGACTTTAAGTTTTGTTTTACCCCATATGTAACTCTGTGTTGTTGTTTTTAATCGCACTGCTTTGCTTTATCTTGGCCAGGCCGCAGTTGTAAATGAGAACTTGTTCTCAACTGGCTTACCTGGTTAAATAAAGGTGAAATAAAATAAATTCATTAATAAAAAACACATACTGACTAACGAGGTGACACCAATCGGTGCGCCCTACGTTCTAACGAGCTATACGTGCTAAAGTCCAACCTCAAAACATAAATGGAAAAAAACAAAACAAATCAGTAACATAACAAAACAAATCTGTAACAATGCGAACAAAACAAAACAGAGGTACCAAGTAGACCTAGTAAACAGAATATCAGATCAATAAAGGCAAGACACCATCTATATGTCACGATCGTCAAACACAGTGGACCAATGCGCAGCGTGATTTGCGAACATACTTTTATTTTAATTACCACACGAACAAAACAACAAAACGATACGTGACGTCCTTGGTTACAATACACAAACCATACACGGAACAAGATCCCACAACACACTGTGGAAAACAGGCTGCCTAAGTATGGTTCCCAATCAGAGACAACAAGCAACAGCTGATACACGTTGCCTCTGATTGAGAACCACACCGGCCAACATAGAAACAAATTAACTAGATAATCACCCTAGCACACAAAACACATAGAAACAACACACCCTGGCTCAACATAACAGAGTCCCAGAGCCAGGGCGTGACACTATATATAGGCTAGTTAAAAACACCGTAAACAAAAAGGCGACTGGAAATTTAAAGAAAACCAAATAACCAAAACAACGACGCCTAACGTCTACTACAGTGAGATGCAGCCATGCACACAGCTGTCCTGCCAAACGAATAGGCCTATAGGCCCGCTTCAATCATGCAAAATCACGGCGGAAGCCAGTCCAGGAGAAAAAAACAATGCCATATGACAACCTGTGTTGTGATAATTGCATTGTTTGCTCTATAACCTGTTAGTTCATATGCCTTGACACCGTGATATAAAGGCAGAGACAATAAGAAGACCACACCTGTGCTTCATCACAAAACTGGAGAGCAACATCCGTCCGGTGATGTCCACAAAACATATTGCATGTAACAAACAGTTACATGACCGACAGCGTGGTCAAGAAAGTTAATGTTTCCGACATTTTTGGACCACTAAACATCCATTGATTTTGAACCATGGAGAGTTTTACCGCAAGTCGAAAAGAAAACTGGAGCTGCCTCCACTATTCCAGCACCATTTCAACTTCAACATTTCAACATCATCAAATCACCTATGCTTAGTCTAATACAGTGACAACTAAAAGATGCCAAAAAACGATTTAGTCCAATCAACGTAAGCTAAATATGATGTGGCTGTCCATGGTACTGATTTCTGTGTGTGTGTGTGTGCATGTATGCTTGCAAGTAGAAAAAAACATGTTGACTCACCCTACTTGTAGACAAACGCCAATGACATCCTCCTCTTTTTCTTGTTGCCTAAACGGTCTTTGACTCTGTCATACAGTACATGGCGTTTATTTGTTGTTGTCCAAGGCTACCTGGATAAAATGCTTGATCACTACCCTAACTTCCATTCATGGGCAATAATACGCCAGTCCAGCTAGTTAACATTAGCCTACCACCTCTAGCTACATGTTGAACTTCCATCGTCTCAGTCCAGGGGCACAACGTATTGAATTTATGGTTGGATCAGAATCGCTGTTATAATCATTAGCCAGTACGGAGAATTAAGTAAAACCACAAGTCCAAATTCCCATCTCCATCCATGGCAAATTTTGGAAAGGGACGATTTTAGCTAGCTAGCCACCGGAGGACAAAGACACAACGAGATGCAACAATTCACGTTTCTTTCTGTAAATGACATTCTGTTTTTTATGTGATGTGATTGGTGTGAAGCCAAATCCAAACTGGCTTCCCTTGACACTTTTTTGTTGGTACGCCAGGACCATTAACAGTTGAGTTAGCTCAGTTTAGCTCAACGCTGATTGGCTATTTTTATTTTTATTTTTATCAAGGCAGGCCAAATGCTTGCTGGCTTCCCTCGCATTCAATCCGATAACAATGTCATACTCTTTTTGACCAGACAGCAGATTGGCACTGTTTCACTCGCTCAGATGCTTTCTCCGGTGAGATACATTCAGCCTCTTGCAAATTGAAGGAAAATTCTGAAACACAGAGAGACGAAAGATAAAATAATATGTTTTTTTTGTCAAAACCAATACGCTACCAAGACATTTACATCATTTAGCAGACGCTCTTATCCAGAGCGACTTACAGTTAGTGCATACATTTTTTTTTATACTGGCCCCCCGTGGGAATCGAACCCACAACCCTGGCGTTGCAAACGCCATGCTCTTACAACTGAGCTACCTCCCTGCTGGCCATTCCCTCCGCTACCCTGGACGACGCTGGGCCAATTGTGCGCCGCCCCATTGGTCTCCCGGTTGCGGCCGGCTACGACAGAGCCTGGATTCGAACCAGGATCTCTAGTGGCACAGCTAGCACTGCGATGCAGTGCCTTAGACCACTGCGCCACTCGGGAGACTACCATAATAGAACGTATCTATTTCTATGATGAAACATACCAATATGTAGCTATACCCAGGGGGACGTCATTTGGGTTCTTGCATTGGAATTATATTGAATTCTGCTTATATCACCCTGTACCACAATAAACATAAAAGTTTAAAATGCAGACACCATTGAATGCTTTTGACCAAGAAGTGACAGGTTGGCTCGAAATCTCCGCTGCGCTCTATCAGCAGCGTGAACAGCGCCCCACACACAAAGCAAGGCCATTGGAAAACCCAGGCTGCTGGCTAAGGTAGTCATTTTGACATTCTAGACCCTAGATCTTTGCTGAAAGGACGCCATTGGCTATACCACCAATATGTTGATAAAAACCAACCCGGCTAGATTGTTTCTTACCTTTTTAGAAGAGTTGCAGCCTCCTTGATGCTCTGTGGAACTTCCTGAGTAATCAATCATTCCATTCTCCCTGAAATCTTCTTGTAAGAACCCCCTCAAATGCCAGTTGGATTTGTTGAGCTTTCCTCAGGTGAACACGTTGGTCAAAGTAGGAAATGAGTTCTGGCATGTAGCTGTGGACACCCCACTCATGAGCCCTATGATTTAATTTTGAATATGGTGTGATGTGTATGTGGGGTATGGTGCTAAACACCTTGGCAAGTTCCTTGTCTTTTCGGAGAGTATATTCCATCATATGCAGAGGAGGTCCACTGCCCCCCTCCCCTCTTGACTCTAACCCTCAGTGGTTTCTGGTTTGAAACAAGGAACTCAATAAAATTGCAGACAAATACATGTGATTTCTTGCCAGCTGCCCATCATTAACAACTGTTGACAGCGATGTTCCCAATAGCCCTTCCAAGTAGTTTTTTCTTTCCACTGTGCATTTCAAACGCTTTTGCTTGATGGCGCCTAGCTAATCTTAGAATGGTACTATCCATAGCATTCTTCCAGTTAGAATACCCAGCTTGGGTGAAGGCCTTGTCTGCGTTAGCATTTGAACCAACACAGAACTTTTGACATGGGGAAACAAAATGCTGCATCTTCAGTAACCGAGTATTCCAGCCACTCTCTTGCTAATGACCAGTTGCTATTAAATTAACGTTTTCGAACAGAAAACCTGCAGCTAGGGTAGGATTCTAGGCTAACCTGGGCTGGCTCCTCTGTTCCAAGATTATCAGGAACAGTCGGAGGTCGAGGGGGCTGTGGAGCCATTATCCTGGCGGCGCTTGTGGAAGGGTGGGTAGGCTCTGTACGCGGAGCTAGCTGGAGCTTAAAGACTCCAGTCACCCAAGTCATAGACTGTTCTCTCTGCTAGCGCACGGCAAGCGGTACCGGAGCGTCAAGTCTAGGACCAAAAGACTCCTTAACAGCTTCTACCCCCAAGCCATAAGACTGCTGAACAATTAATGAAATGGCCACCCGGACTATTTACATTGACCCCCCGTTTGTTTTTGCACTGCTGCTACTTGCTGTTTATTATCAACGCATAGTCACTTTACAAATTACCTCGACTAACCTGTACCCCCGCACATTGACTCGGTACCGGTACCCCCTGTAAATAGCCTCGTTACTGTTACGTAATTTTTTTTCTTATTTTTGTAACTTTATTTAAGAATTATAGACTGATCATGTCTATGTCAGTGGGCAAACGTACAAAATCAGCAGGGGATCAAATACTATTTTCCCTCACTGTATATATATATATATATATATATATATATATATATATATATATATATATAATATACACACACACACAACTGAGAAATGTCTCCATGTTTGTCATGCAGAGCACTAACAGCTCTGCTGACAGTGTTCCACATAACAGTACAGTAGTAGGCTACCGGATGTATTTTCTCTCCTATTTAGAATAGAATAGAGCTGAATAGATTCTAGATTCTAGAACAGGTCTAGAATTTGTGGCAGTGGCATCCTGAAACTAGTTTAGTAGGTTAATCCCCTTCACAGCAGGTGGCAGCAAATGACACAATGTGACGAAATTTACATTTACATTTACATTACATTTTTTGTCCTGACCTCAATGACCTCAATGACCTCAAACCAATCCAAGGGAAGAATACTTTTACACTCCCCCTTGGATACATCTGATGCAAACAGCCAACAACATCGTTCTTAATATGTATTAACACGGGGGGGGGGAATTGCTGACCTCGGTCTCGCAGTTTCCCTGACCTACTAACAGCTAACGTTACATCACACAGGGGACCAGTCGTCCCACCTGCGCTGGGGTTAGCATCGGTCTGACGCCGCGTTGACGTGCTAGTCGGAACTGGGAAACTGACATTTCCCGACATGCTAACTGGTTGTAGTTATACACGTGCAGCGTTCAACGAATCAGCAAGTCCGGAATTTCCTAGTTCCGATTAGCATGTAAACGCGGCATGAGTTGAAGCAGGTTACCAATCCTGTTACGAGCTTATGTGCCGAATACATTACGATGTTACAGGTGTCAAACTTATGGGCATGTGGCAGCAGTGTGTAGGAGGGAGGTTCCAAGGTGTGAGAAGTGTGAAATTGAGGTTGTGGTGGCAGCTGCAGAGAGGTTTTTGGGTGTGCGAGACTTGACATCAGAAGAGTGTGGGGATCTATTTTCTTATAACTAGATGTGATGCCTAGCTTAGAAAGAATACATTAATGATTAAACATAATAGGTTTGTACTGTACTGATATAGATTGTTTAACATAACAAGCTGTGATTAATGTGGGGAACTGTTAGGAGGTAGGATGAGATAAGACTTGTGTCTCACATACACACACACTGCCTCTTTGTTAAACCGCTCAAGGACATGTGTTCTGCTACAGTGGAGAGGAACAGACTATGTCTGAGGTTGCTGACTCGAGACAAGTTGTGGAGATAACAACTAATGCCTGGCAACAGTGAAGCGCCAAGGGCCTGGGACCAGCCTGTGCGCCAACGATAGGCTGAGTAAGTCTAAACCACGCTCAGTCTCTACTATGATAGGCCTGCTTGGAACAGGAACTATCTCTGTCAGAGTATTTAAAGAAGAACTTATAACAATGGCTCAGTTCTCTGTCTGCCCTGCGTGGTGTTTCAGTGGACCCGTATATATACGAACATCATATTTACAATTCAAGTGTTTGCATTAATTAAAATACTAGTCTATTATAGAAGACGTGTATTGACCTCTTTTTGTTCCTATACCAGATTTGAATTGACGCAACTTAACAAGAGTTACGGGGAGTGTTAAGTGGTGATGTCCCATCATTTCAGGTTGAGGGCATGAGGTAGGAATGAGTATATTTGAATAGTGGAGTAGGGTGGTGTTAATTATTAATAATATTTTTGAATTTGTGAGTCTAGTGTTAGATGGTGGGGTATTTCTTTATTTTATTTTTCAAGCAAAATATAAGGGAGTTGTACTCCAGTCTAGTAGGTGGCGGTAATGCAACAAATTGGATGCCAACCGCCGTTAAACTTCATCGAGGAGGAAGAAGAAGAAGAAGAAGAAGAAGAAGAAGAAGGTGGTTACCCATGCTAGCTGGACAGTCACACATTGGTACGACACCGTTGACCTGCTACCCTACACAGTCGCAGTGACTCGACGAAATTGTGCTCCGGAAGAAACTGTCAAGACTTGTTTTGGTTCCATCGTGCTCCTTTACGAGTCGACAGGTAACGTTAGCTGGCTAGCAAACCGTATTGTCAAGACACATTTTGCGTCTCTTAAACATGTCACATAGCTAGCCAGTTGAAATGTTTAGCTATGTTTCACACCGCTAACTAGCTAAATGACCTATTTTCCGCAATGCTCACTTGTTTTTCTGTCGCCAGCCGCGTTTGCTAGCTAACATAAGCTAGCTAACTGCCCCACTCCATCCAAAATCATGCCTTGGCCTACCATCTCTAGGGGTGTTATTTCTGTTTTCAAGTTTGTACAGTAGCTTGTAACTCGTGTAACTACGCCCGCTACTTGTTGACCGGTGAACCCGATTAACTAGTTAGCTGTATTGTTTGTAGGGACTTTAGTTAGATGTGTGTACTTTGCTAGCTACCTAAAATATGGCCTATGTAGTTACAGTACCTAACAGCTGCCCGGGTTGATCAATTCTAGTTAGTTAATCCTGCTTCTCTGTATTTATTTGCTAGACCTCGACTAAAGTATGTCCTGCACATGCACGTCGGCCGCGAGGATATTCTTGAATTCCGCACACAGAGGTAAGAAAACTTTACAATCATGAGAAATTAGTTAACTACAGTAATTTATTGGTCGTCTAAACGCTTCTGCTAGCTACCTAATTTGCCAACCTAGACTCTTTAAGTCTGTGGATAAGCTACGTGACATTGACCTCGTGAACTAGTTTTGAAAACGGGTCGCCTGTTGCATTCTGTATTTGCTAGCTGTATTTCCATAATACCAATTGTTGACGTTGTAAACAACACGTTAGGCTACGTCAATTCGTGATTTCCTGAAAGGCTGATCTAATGATTGGCTGATGAAGAAGGAAGGAATCATTCTATTTCTATGGAACAGGGAAGTTGGGCTGACCTAATATGAATCATGGTGTTAAGTTGCGTCAATTCAAATCTGGTATATACGGGTCCACTGAAATACCACGCAGGGCACTCAGAGAACTAAGCCATTGTTATGAGTTCTTCTTAAAATACTCTGACAGAGATAGTTCCCGCTCCCTGCTGGCCAATCAGAGTAGAGACTGAGCGTGGTTTAGACTTACTCAGCCAATCCGTTGGCGCACAGGCTGGTCTCAGCCCCTTGGCGCTCCACTGTTGCCAGGTGTCTAGTTGTTTTGCAACTTATCCAGAAAGTCAGCACTTTTGCAGTACACACGTCCTTGGACGGTTAACAGATCACAAAGAGGCAGTGTTCGGGTATTGTGAGACACAAGTTCTTATCTCCCCCTACTCCCTAAAACAGCTCCTCACATGAATCACAGCTTGTTAGGTTAAACAATTTATATCAGTACAGTACAAACCTTTTATGCTTAATCATTAATGCATTCTTTCTAAGATAGGTATCACATCCAGATCCCCACAATGGCCATCAGAAATAAAGATATAGGAAAAGTACACATTTATGGATTATAACATCAGCCTAAACATTTGGTCGCATTGTGTTTTCTGTTGTACAGGACTGTCTTGTTCTCGGATTCAGCTGTATGCTCTGAGCAGACCTGGTTCTCGTGAAGCCCCCCTATCTCCCAGAGTCCGAGTGAGATCCATCCATGAAACGGCAGTATGTTTCGCCGCTAAAGATGGATCCACCAAGGATGGATCCAGCGATGGCGGAAAGGTGAACTTGATTCCACTGGATTATGACATATCTGTTTGCCGCTTTACAGAATGAATCACCCAGTGGTGACTAGCTTGGACCCAAGTCTGTTTGTGCTGTCTCGCAAACTCCTATGGTCATTGCCAAACATGGCATAACAACGTGGCACGACGGCTTGTTCCCTTGTCTGTTCATGCTAAGTGGAGACATCATAATTGAATGACTGAATTGAAATGGAATTGACCCCATCTCTGGTGGTGACATCATCATTGAATGACTGAATTGAAATGGAATTGACCCCATCTCTGGTGGTGACAAGACACAAGAATAGACTTTCTAATAAATGCCCAGTGGTTTCGACATGTGACAACGACATAGAAACAAAGCTTCCTATCTGTGGGTATGTGTTCTACATGATGGTTTTTCCTGCTGTTTTTGATAGAACGTCTCTCTATTGTGTCCAATCATAATGCAGAAGAACCTCAGTGAAGGAAAGAGACTGTCGGACTCTTCTGGTGGATCAGGGAAAGGGGGGAACCAGCTGCACTGTCCCAAATGTGGAGACCCCTGCACACATGTGGAGACCTTTGTATGTGAGTACCTTTAAAAAAAAAAAAAAACTCTGTTCGCATAGGCTGTCTTTTTCTAAAGATTCAAGTCGTAGAAAAAGCAGCCGTATAAATGATTGACTTGTCACACCGTCACTACTATTTTATGAAATCAAAGACGGGTAACGGAAACATTTCTTTTTTTTTTCTTTTCTTTTCAGCGTCAACACGTTTTGTGAAGTGTGAGAAATGCCATCACTTCTTCGTGGTGCTCTCTGAGACAGACTCTAAGAAGGGTCTGAATAAAGAACCAGAGTCGCCCGCTGAGGCTGTCAAAATGGCCTTCGTACAGAAACCTCCCCCGCCACCCAAAAAGGTACGAGCACCAATGACAAAACAGGAACTGGTTCTTTTTTTTCTCCAGTTTTTTTTTGTTTCTATGATGTGATGGTTATTTTCAAACAGGAATTACTATGATAATGCTGCAGGTATACCTGGAGCTATAATGCATTCCCTCTAAATGTACACATTTTGTGCTCTTGTAGAACTATGCAAAAATATCTTGCATAGTTCGTTTTGTTTCGGTATGTTGCATTGTAAGTGGCTAATATTGCGTTGATTTGATCACAATTGCCACGGTAAAGGGAAAACTGGAGTAGTGGTCACCAACCTTTTCTGAGTCAAGATCACTTTCTGAGACAATGAAAGCAGAGATCTACTGCTCAGTTTTTTAAAAAGTTTATTTATTTATTTTTTAACATGACTTAACGTAAGCCTATGCTACATTAACCAATTAAAAACAGTACTGTAGCAATGAGGTTTGTGCAGTAAGCTATAGGTCCAATACATTATCACCACATATTGTCTTTGCTTGAATTGCCCTGCCAATGCATTATTCTTTTAAGTTATATTAAAAAAAAATGGAGGTAGGCTATATGATCACACTGGTAATAGATCTGTGGTTGTATTACTTGTGAGGCACAGCTGAGTGAGCATACATTTTTAAATAATTCGCTTTTTATTTTACTGGTCTGATGGTGCCTGCATCTGATGGTACCTGGGCTGATGGTGCCTGGGCTGATGGTGCCTGGGCTGATGGTGCCTGGGCTGATGGTGCCTGGGCTGATGGTGCCTGGGCTGATGGTGCCTGGGCTGATGGTCAGTCTCAGCGGAGGGAGAGAGCAGCAGACTGAGGGTCAGCCTCTCAACATCCCTCCGCTCTCCCTTTCCTCCACTGACACTGAACCAAAAAGGGACCCTTTCCTCCACTGACACTGAACCAAAAAGGGACCCTTTCCTCCACTGACACTGAACCAAAAAGGGACCCTTTCCTCCACTGACACTGAACCAAAAAGGGACCCTTTCCTCCACTGACACTGAACCAAAAAGGGACCCTTTCCTCCACTGACACTGAACCAAAAAGGGACCCTTTCCTCCACTGACACTGAACCAAAAAGGGACCCTTTCCTCCACTGACACTGAACCAAAAAGGGACCCTTTCCTCCACTGACACTGACCAAAAAGGGACCCTTTCCTCCACTGACACTGACCAAAAAGGGACCCTTTCCTCCACTGACACTGAACCAAAAAGGGACCCTTTCCTCCACTGACACTGAACAAAAAGGGACCCTTTCCTCCACTGACACTGAACCAAAAAGGGACCCTTTCCTCCACTGACACTGAACCAAAAAGGGACCCTTTCCTCCACTGACACTGAACCAAAAAGGGACCCTTTCCTCCACTGACACTGAACCAAAAAGGGACCCTTTCCTCCACTGACACTGAACCAAAAAGGGACACCGTCTTCCAGCTGATGGCTAAACTCGAGTCCCACCGCCTAATGCACAAATTCATGTTGTTACTCCTTAAGAGCAGAGAAAGTGAAATATTCCTCCAATATTAAAAAAAAGCCTATAGATACTCATTAACTATTGCTGCAGCACTGAGTGGAAATAGGATGAACGCTCATTTTACAGCTTATTCAAAAGTGTTGAATACAAAGTGACATTGCTGAGTAATAACTTAAACATGAACTCACTCATTAAAAACAGCAGCTCTTTGCTGTATTCGTTGACAGTCTCTCTGTAGTCATGGTTGTATGAAAATAACAAATGAAAGTATGCACTCACTAACTGTAAGTTGTTCAAGATAAGTGTCTGCTAAATGACTAAAATGTAATGGTTGTAAATGTTTTGAAATCTCACAGTATCACTTTTCTGTAGCTTTCTTTTATGCCTGCCTGCTACGTTTTATGCCTGCTTCACAGTAATCTGAGCCATCCGATTGGCCAGCGGTAGGCCTATAGTGCACTTGATTTGCTCTCCGGGCCCACCGGGAAGGCAGAGTTTGTACCTTCGGACACATGAAATAGTTCAAAATGGCAACAGTTTGCCTACTCGGCGAGCAGCGCAGCTGAATCAGGTGCACCTACCGCCAGCCCGAGGCGAATAAAAACAAAATATAAATAATGTTATAATGCGAGCCTACCAGACAAGCTAAATGCCTTCTATGCTCGCTTCGAGGCAAGCAATACTGAACCATGCATGAGCGCACCAGCTGTTCCGGACAACTGTGTGATCTCGCTCTCTGTAGCCGATGTAAGACCTTTTAAATAGGTTAACATTCATTTAACATTTACATTTTAGTCATTTAGCAGACGTTCTTATCCAGAGCGACTTACAGTTAGTGAGTGCATACATTTTTCATACATTCGCAAGGCCACAGGGCCAGACGGGATACAATGACGCGTACTCAGAGCATGCACTTACCAGCTGGCAAGTGCCTTCACCGACATTTTCAAACCTATCCCTGACCCTGGTCTGTAATACCATCTTGTTTCAAGCAGACCACCTTGTGCCCAAGAACGGCAAGGTAACCTGTCTAAATGAATATCGCCCCGTAGCACTCACATCTGTAGCCATGAAATGCTTTAAAAGCCTGATCATGGCTCACATCAACACCATCATCCCAGACACCATGGACCCACTTCAATTCGCATATTGCCCCAACAGATCCACAGATGGCACAATCTCTATTGCACTCCACACTGCCCTCACCCACCTGGACAAAATGAATCCCTATGTAAGAATGCTGTTAATTGACTACAGCTCAGCATTCAACACCATAGAGCCCTCCAAGCTCATCCCTAAACTAAGGACCCTGGGACTGAACACCTCCCTCTGCAGCTGGATCCTGGACTTCCTGACGGGCCACCCCCAAGCGGTGACGGTAGGCAACAACACATCCACCCGCTGACCATCAACACAGGTGCCCCTCAGGGGTGTGTGCTTAGTCACCTCATGTACTCCCTGTTCACACACGAATGCGTGGCCGCGCACGGCTCCAACCCCATCAAGTTTGCTGACGACACGATGGTGGTAGGACTGATCACTGTCAACGATGGGGCAGCCTATATGGAGGAGGTCAGAGACCTGGCAGTGTGGTGCCAGGACAACAACCTCTCCCTCAACGTCATTAAGGCAAAGGAGCTGATCGTGGACTACAGGAAACGGGGGGGGGCGAGCACGCCCCCATCCACATCGATGGGGCTGTAGTGGAGCGGGTCGAGAGCTTCAAGTTCCTCGGTGTCCACATTACTAAGGAATTAACATGGTCCACACACAACCGCACATTTGTGAAGAGGGCAAGACGGTGCCTCTTCCCCCTCAGGAGGCTGAAAGGATTTGGCATGGGCCCTCAGATCCTCAAAACGTTCTACAGCTGCACCATTGAGAGCATCTTTACTGGCTCCATCACCGCTTGATGCGGCAACTGCAAGGCACCCGACCGCAAGGCGCTACAGAGGTTGGTGAGTGCAGCCCAGTACATCACTGGGGCTGAGCTCCCTGCCATCCAGGACCACTATACCAGGCGGTGTCCGAGGAAGGCCCAACAAATTCTCACACTCCAGTCACCCAAGGCTTAGACTAAGGATATTCAACACTTACCCATCCGAGGTCCGGAGCCTGCTGGTTTTCTGTTCTACCTGATAATTAATTGCACCCACCTGGTGTCCCAGGTCTAAATCAGTCCCTAATTAGAGGGGGAACAATGAAAAACACAGTGGAACCTGCTTTGAGGTTCAGAGTTGAGTTTGAGGGACATAGACTGTTCTCTCTGCCACCGCACGGCAAGCGGTACCAATGCACCAATAGGACCCTGAACAGCTTCTACCCCCCCAAGCCATAGGCCTGCTAAATAGCTAATCAAAATGGCTACCATGACTACCTGCATTGATCTCTCTTGCACTGACTCTATGCACACACAGTGAACTCTACCCACGCACTCACTCATACTTACACTGACACCCCAACACACAAACACACACACACACACACACACACACACACTACATGCGCACACAAGTATACTGACGCCACACACACATCTCACACTCACCACATACGCTGCCGCTACTGTCTTATCTATCCTGTTGCCTAGTAACTTGACCCCTACCTATATGTACATAGCTACCTCAATTACCTCGTACCCCTGTACATCGATTTGGTACCGCCTGCAGCGCCATGTTATTTTTATTTGTTATTCGCTGTGTATTTATGACTCGTGTCACTATTTTTAAATCAAATCAATCAAAATGTATTTATAAAGCCCTTTTTACATCAGCAGATGTCACAAAGTGCTATACAGAAACCCCAGCTTAAAACCCCAAACAGCAAGCAATGCAGATGTAGAAGCACGGTGGCTAGGAAAAACTCCCTAGAAAGGCAGAAACCTAGGAAGAAACCAGAGAGGAACCAGGCTCTGAGGGGTGGCCAGTCCCCTTCTGGCTGTGCCGGGTGGAGATTATAACAGTACATGGCCATTAAGGCCAGATCGTTCTTCAAGATGTTCAAACGTTCATAGATGACCAGCAGGGTCAAATAATAATCACAGTGGTTGTAGAGGTTGCAACAGGTCAGCATCTCAGGAGTAAATGTCAGTTGGCTTTTCATAGCCGGGCATTTAGAGGTTGCGACAGCAGGTGAGGGAGGGAGAGGGTTGAAAACAGCAGGTCCGTGACAAGGTAGCACGTCTGGTGAACAGGTCAGGGTTCCACAGCCACAGGTAGGACAGCGGAAACTGGATCAGCAGCACCACCAGGTGGACTGGGGACAGCCAGGAGTCATCAGGCCAGGTAGTTCTGAGGCGTGGTCCTAGGGCTCTCATCCTCTGGGAGAGAGAGAGAGAGAGAGAAAGCGAGATGGGAGAATTAGAGGGTGCATTCTTAAGTTCACACAGGACACCAGATAAGACAGGAGAATTACGCCAGATAGGACAGAATGACCCTAGCCCCCCGGCACATAGACTATTGCAGCATAGATACTGGAGGCTTAGACGGGGGTGTCGGGGGACACTGTGGGCCCCGTCCGACGATACCCCCGGACAGGGTCAACCAGGCAGGATATAACCCCACTCACTTTGCCAAAGCACATCCCCCACACCCCTAGAGGGATATCACGATGTGACGCACCCCTCCTAGGGACGGCATGGACGAGCACTAGTAAGCCAGTGACTCAGCCCCCGTAATAGGGTCAGAGGCAGAGAATCCCAGTGGAGAGACGGGAACCGGCCAGGCAGAGACAGCAAGGGCAGTTCGTCACTCCAGTGCCTTGCCGTTCACCTTCACACCCCTGGGCCAGACTATACAATCATAGGACTTACTGAAGAGATGAGTCTTCAGTAAAGACTTAAAGGTCGAGACCGAGTCTGTGTCTCTCACATGGAAAGGCAGACCATTCCATAAAAATGTAGCTCTATAGGAGAAAGACCTGCCACCAGCTGTTTGCTTAGAAATTTTAGGGACAACAAGGAGGCCTGCGTCTTGTGACCGTAGCATACGTGTAGGTATGTATGGCAGGACCCAATCAGAGAGATGGGTAGGAGCAAGCCCATGTAATGCTTTGTAGGTTAGCAGTAAAACCTTGAAATCAGCCCTAGCCTTAACAGGAAGCCAGTGTAGAGGGGCAAGCACTGGAGTATTATGATCACATTTTTACATTTACATTTTAGTCATTTAGCAGACGCTCTTATCCAGAGCGACTTACAGGAGCAATTAGGGTTAAGTGCCTTGCTTAAGGGCACATCGACAGATTTTTCACCTAGTCGGCTCGGGGATTAGAACCAGCGACCTTTCGGTTACTGGCACAACGCTCTTACCCACTAAGCTACCTGCCACCCCATTAGTACAGCAGGCCAGTAGTACAGGAGGTTCTATTCAAGATTCTAGCAGCCATATTTAGCAGTAACTGAAGTTTATTTAGTGCTTTATCCGGGTAGCCGGAGAGTAGAGCATTGCAGTAGTCTAATCTAGTGACAAAAGCATGGATTTTTTGGACAAACAATTTCAGATTTTAGCAATTTGACAAAGGTGGGAAAAAAATGCTGCCCTTTGAAATATACTTCATATGTTCGTCAAAAGAGACATCATGGTCCGGAGTAATGGCGAGGTCCTTGAGTTTTATTTGAGACGACTGTACAACCATCAAGATTGTCAGATCAAACAGCACATCTCTTTGTTTCTTTGGACCTAGAAGTAGGATCTCTGTTTTGTCTTGAGTTTAAAAAAAGTAAATAATGTGCCGCCATCCACTTCCTTATTCCTGAAACACAGGCTTCTATTTTTGTTACATTTGTTATCTTTATCTCACTCTGCATTGTTGGAAAAGGACCCTTAAGTAAGCTTTTCACTGTTAGTCTACGCCTGTTGTTTTACGAAAAACATGTAGAAAATAAAGTTTGACTTGATTATGCACCGTAAGACTTGTCATGAGCTTGAAGACTTTACTTAAAGCCTGGAGATATACAGTACAACGCGTTTATGAAACAGTTCCTTTATTGTTAGACTTGTATGACCACGTTTATAATGTCTTTATCGTAAATGACAACGGTCCCTGTCTTCCAGATCTATGCCTACCTGGACAAGTACGTAGTGGGGCAGTCCTATGCTAAGAAGGTGCTGGCGGTGGCTGTGTATAATCACTACAAGAGGATCCACAACAACATCCCTGCTGGAAGCAGACAGGTGGAGGTGGATAAACAGGCCTCGCTCACACCACGAGGTCAGTACAGTCTACTGTTAGTTAGAATCAGGCCTCGCTCACACCACGAGGTCAGCCTTACTGGTGTAGTCTTCTGTTAGCTATAGTAGTTCTCACACCAGAAGATCAGCAGAGTTCAGTCAGCTACATGCCTTTTGTTTGTTTAAAATATTAATAATAGTCAGCCGCCAGAAAAACGTATACTGGACAAAATTAAGTTGGCTTACTTCAGAATAGTATAATTTCATTAGGCAACAGCGTTATGCTTTCGTTATGAGCAAAGTTTGTGCTGAAACACCTGTTCAGATATCACAGTCACCTCATGGCGCTCTCATCTGTATAATTTGGCATTTGTTCAATGATTTGCTTTTACACCCACACTTGACAGCTTGAAAGGACGATGCTAATGGATTTAACAAGATAACAGGGTGATGATTACGAACAACAAACAGTGGAATGTGATTCTTCCATGCAGAAATGTAGTGATGTGTTAATCTGGCAGTACGTGATGTCATCCTCTCTCTGTAGAGCTAGAGCTGAGAAGGCGGGAGGATGAGTACAGATTCACAAGTAAGTGATTTGATTGGTCCTCCTTACGTAGCTGTCTCCGTATCATTGGCTATTTTAAACATGTCACTTTTTTGATTGGAGCGTTCTGTTGTGGTATATGTTTTATTTTCAAGAATTGCACAAATGATCAAGTTTACAGACTAGCTTCTCTTGTTGTCAATGACGTATTGTTTTTAGGGTGTGTTAGATAAAATAAAATAAAAATGTATTCTAAACTTTCACACCAGAGGAGCACCATGCTCTAATTAACTGAGCCACACGGGAAGCCCATATAAAGTATTTGAAATTATTTTGAATACTCCACACTGGCTCCCAGTAAAGAGTAGAGCAGGGCACCTGTATTTTTAGATTGAACTTGGACCTATTGCCGTGATGCAGCACCACCACAGATACTTCACGTTATAACTAGGGAGCCTGGCGAACTGAAAATGCGAGACACAAACGTGTTATACACGGAGTGTACAAAACATTAAGAACACCTTCCTAATATTTTTACTTTTTTTTTTTGTCATTTTAGCAGACGTTCTTATCCAGAGCGACTTACAGTTAGTGAGTGCATACATTCTCATACTGCCCTCCCCGTGGGAAACGAACCCACAACCCTGGCGTTGCAAGCGCCATGCTCTACCAACTGAGCTGCAGGGGACTTATATTGAGTTGCAACCACCCCTTTTGCCATCAGATCAGCCTCAATTCGTCAGGGCATGGGCTCGACAAGGTGTCGAAAGCGTTCCACAGGGATGCTGGCCCATGTTGACTCCAATGCTTCCCACAGTTGTCAAGTTGGATGGATGTCCTTTGGGTGGTGGACCATTCTTGACACACACGGGAAACTGTTGAGCATTAAAAACCCAGCAGCGTTGCAGTTCTTGACACAAGCTGGTGCGCCTGGCACCAACTACCATACCCTGTTCAAAGGCACTTAAATATTTTGTCTTGCCCATTCACTCTCTGAATGGCACGTATACACAATCCATGTCTCAATTGTTTCAAGGCTTAAAAACATCATTTTTTTCTCTTGTGGCTGTATTTTACCCCCTTTTTCTCCCCAATGTTTGATCTTGTCTCATTGCTGCAACTCCCCAACGGGCTCGGGAGAGGCGAAGGTGGAGTCATGCGTCCTCTGAAACGTGACCAGCCTAACCGCGCTCCTTAACACCCGCCAGCTTAACCCGGAAGCCAGCCGCACCAATGTGTCGGAGGAAACACTCTTCAACTGGCGACCGGGGTCAGCCGGCAGGCACCCGGCCCGCCACAAGGAGTCACTAGAGTGAGATGAGCGAAGTAAAGCCCCACCGGCCAAACCTTCCCCTAACCCGGACGACACTGGGCCAATTGTGCGCCGTCCTATGGGACTCCCGGCCACGGCCGGTTATAGCACTGCCCGGAAATGAACCCGGATCTTTAGTAACGCATCTAGAACTGCGATGCAGTGCCTTAGACCGCTGCACAGCTCAGGAGGCCCTATAAATCCTTCTTTAACCTGTCTCCTCCCCTTCATCTACACTGATTTTGAAGTGGATTTAACAGGTGACATCAATAAGGGATCATAGCTTTCACCTGGTCAGTCTATGTCATGGAAAGAGCATGTGTTCTTAATGTTTTTTTTACACTCGGTGTACATTACAATACAGTGCAAACGTGTAATACAACTTAAGTTGCCAGATCACAGAGAGTAGGCCAACATTGCATATCCTGTTCGGAAAAGTTACGTTTTAGTGCCTGGTCATTGCCATGAGAGATGGGAAACATTGACCCAAAATGGATTCCCCTAGCCTGGGGGCAAATCTGTTTCTGCCCTCTCGCCAACTCCTTATGGAATCCGTCATGCCAAACAAGCTTGACGAGGACAACAATGGAGTTGACATTTGGCAAGAGCACAAACAGATCTGGCACCAGGCTAGAAATCACCACTATCCTGCTGCCAAATCTGAACCCAAATATACAATATGGCTGTTTTGTTTACATTTGTCATTTGTAGAACTCCTTCAGATAGCAGGGATCAGTCCCCATGGCAACGCTCTGGGGGCCTCCATGCAGCAGCAGGCCAATCAGCAGGCTCCTCAGGAGATGAGGGGCGGGGACGTGTTAGACTCCACCCACACTGACATCAAACTGGAGAAGAGCAACATCGTGTTGCTAGGCCCCACCGGATCAGGTTACTAAACTACTAAATGTATTCACTACACGTGGCAAATTTAAACTATTTTTGTCCAAAACAACTTACTGCTGTGAAAATATATATATCCTTGTCTCATGTCCATTAAAATATTTCTCACTATATTTCCCAGGAAAGACATTGTTGGCCCAGACCCTGGCCAAGTGTCTAGATGTACCCTTTACCATCTGTGATTGTACCACCCTGACCCAGGCTGGCTATGTTGGGGAGGACATCGAGTCTGTTATCGCCAAGCTGCTGCAGGATGCCAACTACTCTGTGGACAAAGCACAGCAAGGTGGGTGGCTCACAAACTCTGTTTTCTGGTTCTCCGGGACTTAAATAGATCTGTTATGCTTTTCGTGTACAGTACTTTGTAACTTGTGTGTAGTCTGATGCAGGGAATTATTAATATTTTTTTTTTGCGGATGAGAATTCACTATTCTCTTGTAGTTCAAATAGAACTATCTTATTCACATAAGCCCTCTGTACAAAATCTATATCTGTTCAATATAATGACCACAATCTCACTAAGATGTGGTACAGGCATTGTGTTTCTGGGTTATTTACAGTGCCTTCAGAAAGTATTCACACCCCTTGACTTTTTGTTGTTACAGCCTGAATTTTAAAATTGATTACATTTAGATTTTGTGTTACTGGCTTACAAACACAATGCCCCATAATGTCAAAGTTGGCTACCTCATCTTTGTGCCCCACACATACAATTATCTGTGAGGTCCCTCAGTCGAGCAGATTCAACCACAAAGACCAGGGAGGTTTTCCAATGCCTCGCAAAGAAGGGCACCTATTGGTAGATGGGTAAAAAAAAAAGTAGACATTGAATATCCCTTTGAGCATGGTGAAGTTATTAATTACACTTTGGATGGTGTATCAATACACCTAGTCACTACAAAGATACAGGCGTCCTTCCTAACTCAGTTGTCGGAGAGGAAGGAAACCGCTCAGGGATTTCGCCATGAGGCCAATGGTGACTTTAAAACAGTTACAGGGTTTAATGGCTGATGGTGATCGGAGAGAACTGAGGATGGATCAACAACATTGTAGTTACTCCACAATACTAACCTAATTGACAGAATGAAAAGGAAGCCTGTACATAATAAAAATATTCCAAAACATGCATCCTGTTTGCAATAAGGCACTAAAGTAACACTGCAAGAAATGTGGCAAAGACATTTATTTTATGTCCTGAATACAAATTGTTATGTTTGGGGCAAATCCAACACATCACTGAGTACCACTTCATATTTTCAAGCATAGGGGTGGCTGCGTAATGTCATGGGTATGCTTGTCATCGGCAAGGGAGTTTTTTTAGAATAAAAATAAATGGAATAGAGCTAAGCACAGGCAAAATCCTAGAGGAAATCCTGGTTCAGTCTGCTTTACAACAGACACTGGGAGACAAATTCACCTTTCAGCAGGACAAAAACCTAAAACACAAGGCCAAATATACACTGGAGTTGCTTACCAAGACGACATTGAATGTTCCTGAGTGGCCTAGTTACAGTTTTGACTTAAATCAGTTTTAAATAAGTTCTATCAATGATCAACAACCAACTTGACAGAGCTTGAAGAATTAAAAAAACATTGTGCGCAAATATTGTAAAATCCAGGTGTGCAAAGCTCTTAGAGACTTACCCAGAAAGACTCACAGCTGTAATCGCATGCCAAAGGTGATTCTAACATGTATTGACTCAGTGGTGTGAATACATCTGTATTTCATTTTCAATACATTTGCAAAGATTTCTAAAACTATGTTTTCACTTTGTCATTATGGGGTATTGTGTGTAGATCGGTGAGATATTTAATCCAGTTTGAATTCAGGCTGTAACACAACTACATTTGGAATAAATCAAGGGGTATGAATACTTTCTGAAGGCACTGTAGTCGTTTTTACCTACTTTAGTTGAATGTAAATGTCTCCCTGTCCAGGCATTGTGTTTCTGGATGAGGTGGATAAGATCGGCAGTGTTCCTGGAATCCACCAGCTCAGAGACGTAGGAGGAGAGGGAGTACAGCAGGCCAGTACTCAAGCCGTACTTTATTATCCAAAGCTTAGGAAACTCATTTGGTCAACTTTACATAAGTGACCAGACATACGCTGAGAATACAAAACATTAAGAACACCCTGCTCTTTGTAGATTGTCCCACTAAAGCCCAAACCAGATGGGATGGCGTGTCGCCTGCAGAATGCTGTGGTAGCCATGCTGGTTAAGTGTGCCTTGAATTCTAAATAAATCACAGACCGTGTCACCAGCAAAACACCATCACGTCTCCTCCTCCTTGCTTCACGGTGGGAACTACACATGCAGAGATCATCCGTTCACCTACACTGCGTCTCACAAAGACACAGCGGTTGCAACCAAAAATCTCCAATTTGGACCCCAGACCAAAGGACAGATTTCCACCGGTCTAATGTCCATTGCTCGTGTTTCTTGGCCTAAGCAAGTCTCTCCTTATTATTAAAATTTTAGTCATTTAGCAGACGCTCTTATCCAGAGCGACTTACAGTTAGTGCATTATTACATTATTTTTATTTTTCATACTGGCCCCCCGTGGGAATCGAACCCACAACCCTGGCGTTGCAAACGCCATGCTCTACCAAATGAGCTACATCCCTGCCGGCCATTCCCTCCCCTACCCTAGACAACGCTGGGCCAATTGTGCGCCGCCCCATGGGTCTCCCGGTCACGTCCGGCTACGGATTCGAACCAGGATCTCTAGTGGCACAGCTAGCACTGCCATGCAGTGCCTTAGACCACTGCGCCACTCGGGAGGTGTCCTGATTCACACAGTCTCCTCTGAACAGTTGATGTTGATGTGTCTGTTACTTGAACTCTGTGAAGCATTTATTTGGGCTGCAATTTCTGAGGCTGGTAACTCTAATGAAATTATCCTCTGCAGCAGAGGTAACTCTGGGTCTTCCTTTCCTGTGGCGGTCCTCATGAGACCCAGTTTCATCATAGTGATTGATGGTTTTTGCGACTGCACTTGAAGAAACTTTCAAAGTTCTTCACATTTTCCGGATTGACTGACCTTCATGTCTTAAAGTAATGATGGACTATAATTTGTCTTTGATTATTTGAGCTGTTCTTGCCATAATATGGACTTGGTCTTTTACCAAATAGGGCTATCTTCTGTATACCACCCCTACCTTGTCACAACACAACGGATTGGCTCAAATGCATTAAGAAGGAAAGAAATTCCACAAATTAACTTTTAACAAGGCACACCTTTTTAATTGAAATGCATTCAACTACCTCATGAAGCTGGTTGAGAGAATGCCAAGAGTGTGCAAAGATATGAAATATATTTTGATTTCATTAACACTTTTTTGGTTACTACATGATTCCATATGTGTTATTTCATAATTTTGATATCTTCACTATTATTCTACAATGTAGAAAATAGTCAAAATTAAGAAAAACCCTTTAATGAGTAGGTGTGTCCAAACTTTTGACTGGTACTGTATATATATTTATTTATAAATTTTCTCTGAAAACTTTGGCCGCCAAATGAATCCACCTGCAGGCCAAAGTCGGCCCGCGGGCCACCAGTTGGGGAACCCTGTTGTAGAGTGTTACCTTACGGGATGGGAGATATCAGTGATTTGACGTCTGTGTTTTCTGAATGTAGGGCCTGCTGAAACTCCTGGAGGGCACGATAGTGAACGTCCCAGAGAAGAACTCCAGGAAGCTGAGAGGAGAGACGGTGCAGGTGGACACCACTAACATCCTGTTCGTAGCGTCAGGAGCCTTCAACGGACTCGACAGAATCGTCAGCAGACGGAAGAATGAAAAGGTTAGCAAGAAGAAAAATAAAATAAAAATTTCCCTCATTGTATCGACACAGAACTGTAAAACGGCTGCGGTCCTTTTTTATTCTGTTCACTGGTTTTCAAGAGACTCGGTCAACAGTCTCTCTAATCTGAGCAATCTGCAGTTGCTACATCCATTTAATAATATGTACCCATTGATTCTTGAAGAATATAAATTATAAATAAATACCTAATGAGCTTAAATTCAACAGTCGTACCCCATCAGAACCTACACTGAACAAAAATATAAACGCAACATGCAACAATTTCAAAGATTTTACTGAGTGACAGTTCATATAAGGAAGTCAGTCAATTGAAATATATTCATTAGGCCCTAATCTATGGATTTGACATGACTGGGAATACAGATATGCATCTGGTCACAGATACCTTAAAAAAAAAAAAAAAAAAAGTAGGGGCGTGGATCAAAACTAGTCAGTATCTGGTGTGACCACCATTTGCCTCATACAGCGCGACACATCTCCTTCGCATAGAGTTAATCAGGCTGTTGATTGTGGCCTGTGGAATGTTATCCCACTCCTCATTGGCTGTGTGAAGTTGCTGGATATTGGCTGGAACTGGAACATGCTGTCGTACACGTCGATCCAGAGCATCCCAAACATGCTCAATGGGTGATATGTCTGGTGAGTATGCAGGCCATGGAAGAACTGGGACATTTTCAGCTTCCAGGAATTGTGCACAGATCCTTGCGACATGGGGCCGTGCATTATCATGCTGAAACATGAGGTGATGGCGGCGGATGAATGGCACGACAATGGGCCTCAGGATCTCGTCACGGTATTTCTGTGCATTCAAATTGCCATCGATAAAATGCAATTGTGTTTGTTGTCCGTAGCTTATGCCTGCCCATACCATAACCCCACCGCCACCATGGGGCACTCTGTTCACAATGTTGACATCAGCAAACCGTGAAGAGCACACTTATCCAGCGTGCCAGTGGCCATCGAAGGTGAGCATTTGCCCACTGAAGTCGGTTACGACGCCAAACTGCAGTCAGGTTAAGACCCTGGTGAGGACGTCGAGCACGCAGATGAGCTTCCCTGAGACGGTTTCTGACAGTTTGTGCAGAAATTATTTGGTTGTGCAAACCCACAGTTTCATCAGCTGTCCGGGTGGCTGGTCTCAGACGATCCCGCAGGTGAAGAAGCCGGATGTGGAGGTCCTGGGCTGGCGTGGTTACACTTGGTCTGCGGTTGTGAGACCGGTTGGACGTACTGACAAATTCTATAAAACGACGTTGGAGGCGGCTTATAGTAGCGAAATGAACATTTTGATTATCTGGCAACAGCTCTGGTGGACAATCCTGTAATCAGCAAGCCAGTTGCACACTCCCTCCATTTAAAAAAATAATAATAATTTTTAGCTCACCAAACATTTTATGTTGCATTTATATTTTTGTTCAGTATAAAATAGAAGCTTGTTCAACTCCGTTGTCTGTAATCAAAGTAAATGTAAACTAACACTATATAGCCTCAACATGGTTAAAACTGTAATTGTGATGTCATGGATGGTCAGTCCTTGCATCCACAGCTCTGTCTGTTTAATCTGAGAGTGGGTACATTTCTCCATCCCCATCACTCTGCTTTTTACCAAAACAGTGGCAGGGTGTCACTTTGTTATTGTTTGAACTGATGGTTACCGCTTTAATGTAGTATTTTAATGAATGGAACATGAATGTCTAGGCCTGCCTCTCCTAGATGACGTCTCATTTCTTCAGTGTTTTAGACCACGTGTTTTCCTTAACCTTCTCCTCTCTGGTCCCTCTCCGCCTGTGTAGTACCTGTTGTTCACCCACTAATCGTCTCTTTTTTTTCTTCTAGTACCTGGGCTTCGGGACGCCCTCCAACATGGGTAAGGGTCGCCGTGCGGCGGCAGCGGCCGACCAGGCTAACAGCAGTGAACAGACGGACATGGTGGCAGAGATGGAGGAGAAGGACCGGCTGCTGAAGCTCGTGGAGGCCCGGGACCTCATTGAGTTTGGGATGATCCCGGAGTTCGTGGGGCGTCTGCCAGTGGTGGTGCCTCTGCACAGTCTGGATGAAGAGACTCTGGTCCGCATCCTGACAGAACCACGTAACGCTGTCATACCCCAGTACCAGGCCCTGTTCAGCATGGACAAGGTTAGTAGTAGTAGTGGTCTCAGTACCAGGCCCTGTTCAGCATGGACAAGGTGAGGAAAGAAAGGCCTTTCTCAGGACTGGAAGAACAACTCTACTGCTGAGGATGCACTAGCTCCATACAGCTGACAGGACTGCTGGCTACTTAGCAGACACAAACTAGACAGATAATATTGTCATTTATCAAGGCTGTGTTTGTCATGTTTTAGTCTAACCCAAGTCTTTTGGATGTACATATCACATTCACTCTGCCTGTGTCTCGGTTCCTGTTATAACATTTACGTCATTTAGCAGACGCTCTTATCCAGAGCGACTTACAAATTGGTGCATTCACCCTATAACCAGTGGGATAACCACTTTACAATTAAAAAAAAAAAAAAAATTAAGAGGGGGCGGGGGGGTAGAAGGATTGCTTTATCCTATCCCAGGTATTCCTTAAAGAGGTGGGGTTTCAAATGTCTCCGGAAGGTGGTGAGTGACTCCGCTGTCCTGGCGTCGTGAGGGAGCTTGTTCCACCATTGGGGTGCCAGAGCAGCGAACAGTTTTGACTGGGCTGAGCGGGAACTATGCTTCCGCAGAGGAAGGGGAGCCAGCAGGCCAGAGGTGGATGAACGCAATGCCCTCGTTTGGGTGTAGGGACTGATCAGAGCCTGAAGGTACGGAGGTGCCGTTCCCCTCACAGCTCCATAGGCAAGCACCATGGTCTTGTAACAGATGCGAGCTTCAACTGGAAGCCAGTGGAGTGTGCGGAGGAGCGGGGTGACGTGAGAGAACTTGGGAAGGTTGAACACCAGACGGGCTGCGGCATTCTGGATGAGTTGTAGGGGTTTAATGGCACAGGCAGGGAGCCCAGCCAACAGCGAGTTGCAGTAATCCAGACGGGAGATGACAAGTGCCTGGATTAGGACCTGTGCCGCTTCCTGTGTAAGGCAGGGTCGTACTCTCCGAATGTTGTAGAGCATGAACCTGCAGGATCGGGTCACCGCCTTGATGTTAGCGGAGAACGACAGGGTATTGTCCAGGGTCACGCCAAGGCTCTTCGCACTCTGGGAGGAGGACACAACGGAGTTCTCAACCGTGATGGCGAGATCATGGAACGGGCAGTCCTTCCCCGGGAGGAAGAGCAGCTCCGTCTTGCCAAGGTTCAGCTTGAGGTGGTGATCCGTCATCCATACTGATATGTCTGCCAGACATGCAGAGATGCGATTCGCCACCTGGTTATCAGAAGGGGGAAAGGAGAAGATTAGTTGTGTATCGTCAGCGTAGCAATGATAGGAGAGGCCATGTGAGGATATGACGGAGCCAAGTGACTTGGTGTATAGCGAGAATAGGAGAGGGCCTAGAACTGAGCCCTGGGGGACACCAGTGGTGAGAGCACGTGGTGCGGAGACAGCTTCTCGCCACGCCACTTGGTAGGAGCGACCGGTCAGGTAGGACGCAATCCAAGAGTGAGCCGCGCCAGAGATGCCCAGCTCGGAGAGGGTGGAGAGGAGGATCTGATGGTTCACAGTATCAAAGGCAGCAGACGGGTCTAGAAGGACAAGAGCAGAGGAGAGAGAGTTAGCTTTAGCAGTGCGGAGAGCCTCCGTGACACAGAGAAGAGCAGTCTCAGTTGAATGACCAGTCCTGAAACCTGACTGGTTAGGATCAAGAAGGTCATTCTGAGAGAGATAGCAAGAGAGTTGGCTAAAGACGGCACGCTCAATAGTTTTGGAAAGAAAAGAAAGAAGGGATACTGGTCTGTAGTTGTTGACATCAGAGGGATCGAGTGTTGGTTTTTTGAGAAGAGGTGCAACTCTCGCTCTCTTGAAGACGGAAGGGACATAGCCAGCGGTCAAGGATGAGTTGATCAGCGAGGTGAGGTAGGGGAGAAGGTCACCGGAGATGGTCTGGAGAAGAGAGGAGGGGATGGGGTCAAGCGGGCAGGTTGTTGGGCGGCCTGCAGTCACAAGTCGCAAGATTTTATCTGGAGAGAGAGGGGAGAAAGAAGTCAAAGCATAAGGTAGGGCAGTGTGAGCAGGACCAGCAGTGTCATTAGACTTAACAAACGAGGATCGGATGTCGTCAACCTTCTTTTCAAAGTGGTTGACGAAGTCATCCACAGAGAGGGAGGAGGAGGGGGGGGGAGGAGGATTCAGCAGGGAGGAGAATGTGGCAAAGAGCTTCCTATGGTTAGAGGCAGATGCTTGGAATTTAGAGTGGTAGAAAGTGGCCTTAGCAGCAGAAACAGATGAAGAAAATGTAGAGAGGAGGAAGTGAAAAGATGCCAGGTCCGCAGGGAGTCTAGTTTTCTTCCATTTCCGCTCAGCTGCCCGGAGCTCTGTTCTGTGAGCTCGCAATGAGTCATCAAGCCACGGAGCTGGAGGGGAGGACTGAGCCGGCCGGGAGGATAGGGGACATAGAGAGTCAAAGGATGCAGAAAGGGAGGAGAGGAGGGTTGAGGAGGCAGAATCAGGAGATTGGAGGGAGAAGGATTGAGCAGAGGGAAGAGATGATAGGATGGAAGAGGAGAGAGTAGTGGGAGAGAGAGAGCGAAGGTTGCGGCGGCGCATTACCATCTGTGTAGGGGCAGAGTGAGTAGTGTAGGAGGAGAGCGAGAGAGAAAATGATACAAAGTAGTGGTCGGAGACATGGAGGGGAGTTGCAGTGAGATTAGTAGAAGAGCAGCATCTAGTAAAGATGAGGTCAAGCGTATTGCCTGCCTTGTGAGTAGGGGGGGGGCGGTGAGAGGGTGAGGTCAAAAGAGGAGAGGAGTGGAAAGAAGGAGGCAGAGAGAAATGAGTCAAATGTAGACGTAGGGAGGTTGAAATCCCCCAAAACTGTGAGGGGTGAGCCATCCTCAGGAAAGGAACTTATCAAGGCGTCAAGCTCATTGATGAACTCTCTAAGGAAACCTGGAGGGCGATAGATGACAAGGATATTAAGCTTAAATGGGCTAGTGACTGTGACAGCATGGAATTCAAATGAGGAGATAGACAGATGGGTTAGGGGAAAAATTGAGAATGTCCACTTGGGAGAGATGAGGATTCCTGTGCCACCACCCCTCTGACCAGATGCTCTCGGGGTATGCGAGAACACATGGTCAGACGAGGAGAGAGCAATAGGAGTAGCAGTGTTTTCAGTGGTAATCCATGTTTCCGTCAGCGCCAGGAAGTCGAGGGACTGGAGGGTAGCATAGGCTGGGATGAAGTCAGCCTTGTTGGCAGCAGAACGGCAGTTCCAGAGGCTGCCTGAGACCTGGAACTCCAGGTGTGTGGTGCGTGCAGGGACCACCAGGTTAGAGAGGCAGCAGCCACGCGGTGTGAGGCGTTTGTGTAGCCTGTGCGGAGAGGAGAGAACAGGGATAGGCAGAGGCATAGTTGACAGGCTGTAGCAGATGGCTACAATAATGCAGAGGAGATCGGAATGAAATGAACTAAACATCTGGGAAAGGAGAGAGCAGGGCCTCCCTCACCAAAACTCCCAAATATAACTCGCCCAACTTCCACCTCAGAAACTGTAATTGTTTCACTGAACCACCCGAATAAAACTCTCCCAACTTCCACTTTAGAAATTAGAATTGTTGTAAACTACAGCGGTTCAATGTTTCAAGGAATAGACTCAACTTACTTTATTCAGCTAGCTAACTATGACGCCATAGTTAACTAGCATGCTAGCATCCAATAACACACAGTTTAGCACCAATACTTGGTTACAACAAACTACCAATAGTGTGTTAACACACTAAACAGATAATTAGTGTCCGTGTCTAGTTCCTTTCATAACGCAGCAATAATTAAACGTTGGCTAGCTAGCACAAAGATATTGTATTTAGCTGCTACAGTACAGCTAGCTGGTAGTGTTGGCTAGCTAGCAATGGCTGCTCTGTTGACTTTGTTTGAAAAACGGCGTCGCTGCGAACGAATGTAGCTGGCTAAAAGGATATTGTATTTAGTTGCTACCGTTGCTAATAGCTACTCGCCAGCTAGTCCAGGAGGTGAGTTAGCTAGCTAGCTTCGTGCTACACCCGGCACCGCCGAATACAATACTAACCTACAATAATTACATACAATAACTACCCACAACAACCCACGATGCCTACCTACAATACCTAACTACAATCTAAATACATAGTTTAAGCCTTACTCGACAAAGCCCAAGCTATGTATAAAGCCAAACTTACCCGACGCCAGCTGTCTGGGTGGCAGACAAGAAGACATTGGTCTTCTGCAATCAGTAGCTGTAATTAAGTACAGTAGCTACTAACTACCTAACGTTAATGCTTCAGATAATGAGGTTAGAAAAACAGCTGAATGGTAGGTAGCTAGCTGGCTTAATTACAGGTACTCTTAAGCGTGAAATAACATTGGAAACAACTATCCACAGTTGCTAAAAGTTACCAGTAGCTACCCGCTAGCTAGCTAGCTCTATTGGTCCAGGTAGTGGGTTAGCTAGCCTCGTGCTTCACCGGGCTCAGCCGAATACAATACTTACCTACAATAATTACCTACAATAACCTACAATAACTACCTAAATAACGTTCCTCTCTCTGTGATTTGTGTTCCAGTGTGAACTGAATGTAACCACAGATGCACTGAGGGCCATCGCCAGGCTGGCTCTGGACAGGAAGACGGGAGCCCGTGGCCTGAGGTCCATCATGGTCAGTCAATACAACGTGCTCAATTCCTATACATTTGGTATTTGAGTCTTTATCAGCAGTAAGAATATACACAGAACGGATTCGGTTGCTGATGGTAAATCTAAGTGATATTTCTACTATGGTGAGTGACTGTGACAGTGTAATGAAGCAAGAAATTCATGAATGAATGTCCTGTTTCAGTTTTCTGACACTGCTGTGTGAAATCTCTCTTTTTTTTTTTTTTTATACAGGAGAAGCTTCTTCTGGAGCCAATGTTTGAGGTGCCGTGTTCAGACATCATGGCCGTGGAGTTAACGGAGGACGTTGTCCAGGGTAGATCAGAACCACAATACGTCAGGTTAGTCAGCACCTGTTAGGATCTTACTGTCACTTGGCTTCGTACTGTCTGTGTTTTTATTGCTGTACTTATCTCTTGCCACTTGCCAGGCCACCATTAATTGACTTGCCTGGTTAAGTAAAAGTTAAATTAATAGATACAGTGGGGGGGGGGGGGGGGGGGGGGAGTATTTAGTCAGCCACCAATTGTGCAAGTTCTCCCACTTAAAAAGATGAGAGAGGCCTGTAATTTTCATCATAGGTACACGTCAACTATGACAGACAAATTGAGGGGAAAAAAGTCCAGAAAATCACATTGTAGGATTCTTTAATGAATTTATTTGCAAATTATGGTGGAAAATAAGTATTTGGTCACCTACAAACAAGCAAGATTTCTGGCTCTCACAGACCTGTAACTTCTTCTTTAAGAGGCTCCTCTGTCCTCCACTCGTTACCTGTATTAATGGCACCTGTTTGAACTTATCAGTATAAAAGACACCTGTCCACAACCTCAAACAGTCACACTCCAAACTCCACTATGGCCAAGACCAAAGAGCTGTCAAAGGACACCAGAAACAAAATTGTAGACCTGCACCAGGCTGGGAAGACTGAATCTGCAATAGGTAAGCAGCTTGGTTTGAAGAAATCAACTGTGGGAGCAATTATTAGGAAATGGAAGACATACAAGAACGGTGAGCAAAAATCCCAGAACCACACGGGGGGACCTAGTGAATGACCTGCAGAGAGCTGGGACCAAAGTAACAAAGCCTACCATCAGTAACACACTACGCTGCCAGGGACTCAAATCCTGCAGTGCCAGACGTGTTCCCCTGCTTAAGCCAGAACATGTCCAGGCCCGTCTGAAGTTTGCTAGAGTGCATTTGGATGATCCAGAAGAGGATTGGGAGAATGTCATATGGTCAGATGAAACCAAAATATAACTTTTTGGTAAAAACTCAACTCGTCGTGTTTGGAGGACAAAGAATGCTGAGTTGCATCCAAAGAACACCATACCTACTGTGAAGCATGGGGGTGGAAACATCATGCTTTGGGGCTGTTTTTCTGCAAAGGGACCAGGACGACTGATCCGTGTAAAGGAAAGAATGAATGGGGCCATGTATCGTGTGAGATTTTGAGTGAAAACCTCCTTCCATCAGCAAGGGCATTGAAGATGAAACGTGGCTGGGTCTTTCAGCATGACAATGATCCCAAACACACCGCCCGGGCAACGAAGGAGTGGCTTCGTAAGAAGCATTTCAAGGTCCTGGAGTGGCCTAGCCAGTCTCCAGATCTCAACCCCATAGAAAATCTTTGGAGGGAGTTGAAAGTCTGTGTTGCCCAGCGACAGCCCCAAAACATCACTGCTCTAGAGGAGATCTGCATGGAGGAATGGGCCAAAATACCAGCAACAGTGTGTGAAAACCTTGTGAAGACTTACAGAAAACGTTTGACCTGTGTCATTGCCAACAAAGGGTATATAACAAAGTATTGAGAAACTTTTGTTATTGACCAAATACTTATTTTCCAACATAATTTGCAAATAAATTCATAAAAAATCCTACAATGTGAGTTTCTGGATTTTTTTTTCTCATTTTGTCTGTCATAGTTGACGTGTACCTATGATGAAAATTACAGGTGCCTCTCATCTTTTTAAGTGGGAGAACTTGCACAATTGTTGGCTGACTAAATACTTTTCCCCCCCCACTGTAAATACCAACCATATCAGTCAAAGGTCTATTGGTTTCATCATGCCGGAGGTATGTTAAGATCAGAACACTGAGTACTGAAACCTGACCTGAAGTTCCCATGTAATGTTCCCAAGTGAAAACACCTCAACAGACCGTACCTTGGCTCCACTACCACTAATACTGACCCCCCTCTCTCTCTCTGCATAACTAACCCTACCACTAATACTGACCCCCCTCTCTCTCTCTGCATAACTAACCCTACCACTAATACTGACCCCCCTCTCTCTCTCTGCATAACTAACCCTACCACTAATACTGACCCCCCTCTCTCTCTCTGCATAACTAACCCTACCACTAATACTGACCCCCCCCTCTCTCTCTGCATAACTAACCCTACCACTAATACTGACCCCCCTCTCTCTACATAACTAACCCTACCACTAATACTGACCCCCCCTCTCTCTCTCTGCATAACTAACCCTACCACTAATACTGACCCCCCCCCCCCCCCTCTCTCTCTCTACATAACTAACCCTACCACTAATACTGACCCCCCTCTCTCTCTCTGCATAACTAACCCTACCACTAATACTGACCCCCCCTCTCTCTCTACATAACTAACCCTACCACTAATACTGACCCCCCTCTCTCCCTCTGCATAACTAACCCTACCACTAATACTGACCCCCTCTCTCTACATAACTAACCCTACCACTAATACTGACCCCCCCTCTCTCTCCTCTGCATAACTAACCCTACCACTAATACTGACCCCCCCCCCCCCCTCTCTCTACATAACTAACCCTACCACTAATACTGACCCCCCCTCTCTCTCTCTGCATAACTAACCCTACCACTAATACTGACCCCCCCTCTCTCTCTCTGCATAACTAACCCTACCACTAATACTGACCCCCCCCCTCTCCCTCTGCATAACTAACCCTACCACTAATACTGACCCCCCTCTCTCTCTCTGCATAACTAACCCTACCACTAATACTGACCCCCCTCTCTCTCTCTACATAACTAACCCTACCACTAATACTGACCCCCCCCCCCCTCTCTCCCTCTGCATAACTAACCCTACCACTAATACTGACCCCCCTCTCTCTCTCTGCATAACTAACCCTACCACTAATAATGACCCCCCTCTCTCTCTCTACATAACTAACCCTACCACTAATACTGACCCCCCCCTCTCTCTCTCTGCATAACTAACCCTACCACTAATACTGACCCCCCCCCCTCTCTCCCTCTGCATAACTAACCCTACCACTAATACTGACCCCCCCCCCCCCCCCTCTCTCCCTCTGCATAACTAACCCTACCACTAATACTGACCCCCCCCCCTCTCTCCCTCTGCATAACTAACCCTACCACTAATACTGACACCCCTCTCTCTCTCTCTCTGCATAACTAACCCTACCACTAATACTGACCCCCCCCTCTCTCTACATAACTAACCCTACCACTAATACTGACCCCCCCTCTCTCTCTTCTGCATAACTAACCCTACCACTAATACTGACCCCCCTCTCTCTCTCTGCATAACTAACCCTACCACTAATACTGACCCCCCCTCTCTCTCTCTGCATAACTAACCCTACCACTAATACTGACCTTCCTCTCTCTTAGTACTCTGCATAACTAACCCTAAGAGCGTCTACTAAATGACTAAAATGTAAATACCTTTCCAGGGCTCCAGTGAAGGAGGCAGCAGAGGAGGAGTATGACTCTGGTACCGAAGAGGAGAACTGGTCCAGACAGGTGGACGCAGCAGCCAACAACTGATTTGATCCCCCTGTCCTTTACTTTCACTCATTTTCAAGAACTCCTACATAATCTACACACAGTGTAATCTAGAATCATTAGAACACCTTCTAGAACCTTTGGAAGCCAGTTGTGGGTTCCTCGAATTCCAGCCTCTGAGACTCCTACAGGCCACTACTGAAACTACAACACAATGAAACACATTGTTTCTTGACCCTCTCTTTCTCCTTTTCACTCTCTTTCTCCTTTTCACTCTCTTTCTCTTTTTCTCTCTCTTTTTTTCTCTCTTTCTCTTTCTCTTTCTCTTTCTCTTTCTCTTTCTCTTTCTCTTTCTCTCTCTCTCTCTCTCTCTCTCTCTCTCTCTCTGAAAGTGTTTTGATAATGAACAACAAGGATGTGAGATCTGTAAATACCTTTTTGGTCCTGTGAATCAGATGGGAATTATTTAGTTATAAATCAAGGGCTGCTAACGAGGTGGACCTTTTTATAGTATATATATTTTCCATCTTTGGGGATTGCCTTCTATCTATCGTAAGAGAACGCAATTTTTATTCTTAATGATTTAAATAGGGGATTGTGTTTCTCTCTTGTGTTGTGGTGATGGCAGGTTGAAATGGCAAAGGAAACAAATATAACATGAATGGGACACTATATTGTACACTTGAAGACATAGCCAGGGCTAGGAATGTTCAGTTTTTGTATCTTCAATGTTACACAACAATATACAACTAATACCCTGACTGTCACCGGCAGACCTGGGTTCAAATACTATTCAACATTTTTTACAAATACTTTGCCACTTGCCAGGTAGGTAGGGGTTCACACTGTTGAAACTATTTTATTGATTCCATTGCGCCAGGAAAGCTTAATCAAGCCGAGCTAAATAATTTTAAAAGTAGTATTTGAACCCAGGTCTGGTCACCGGAGCGTGATATTCCACGATGAGCACATCATTATTGTGATGTTTTTCTATGGAGTAAAAAAAAAAAAAAAAAAAAAAACATTCTTGCACTAATTTCACTCCATATCTCTTCTTATCCACCATTGTACTAATGGTGTTCATAATTAACATAACTGAGCTGTATATGTTGTTAATAAGCATCAGTGCTGCTTAGAAAAAGTGTATAATCTTGTATCACAGGAACACACCTGTAAAGTGATTAGGGAAAACATGTGTACTACACCCTACACCAGCACACTGAACAGTACGGGCAGCGTCCAAAATGGCACCCTATTCGACTGTCCAAAATGGCACCCTATTCGACTAGGGCCTCTGGTCAAAGGTAGTGCACTATATAGGGAATAGGCTGCCATTTTCAGACGCAGAACAGTTGTGTGTAGAAGTGACCTTTTTACAAATTTAAAGAATGGTTATTTCTGTACTGTTGTATACCCCTCCAGCTGTAAACCCATTCTCTACTAGGGAATGTATGCATGTCTGCTCTCTCTAACCTCGCAGGATTACCGTTTGGATTAATTTCAAAGGTAAATTATATGTGAAACGCCCCAAAGTTGTGAAAAATCTCCACATTTTATTGATGTGATTTGTTTTAAATATTATAAATAAAATGTATATCTCTATTACTGTCAATGTAGATTGTTTTAAAAGCTTATTTGTGCTGTTTTTGTTTGAACTCCACTTGCAATGCCATGTGGCACCACTGAGGGGCACCACTGAGGGCCACCATGACTACCATGGCTCTACCTCCACATGTCAGAGAGCAGAACTGGCCATGTGTAATCTGTGTTGTAAGTGTGTTGTTCAACACATTCCTGTTTCTCAACTCATCAGCATTTCCCTAATCCTCTCCCTTCAGCCTCCCTGTTACTTTTCAGGAAAACACACACCCAAGAACTGGAGGTTGCATAGGTAGGTAGGTAGGTAGGTAGGTAGGTGGGGGGGGGGGGGGGGGGTTAAGAACATTTGTTCCATAAATAAAATAAAAAACTAAAAGCTGATTTTAACTAACTCAATGGTAACTAATTAACTTATCAACTGCAGCAGAGGTAACTCTGGGTCTTCCTTTCCTGTGGCGGTGCTCATGAGAACCAGTTTCATCATAGCGCTTGATGGTTTTTGTGACTGCACTTGAAGAAACTTTCAAAGTTATTCACATTTTCCGGATTTACTGACCTTCATGTCTTAAAGTAATGATGGACTGTCGTTTCGCTTTGCTTATTTGAGCTGTTCTTGCCATAACATGGACTTGGTCTTTTACCAAATAGAGCTATCTAATGTATACCCCCCCTACTTTGAAGAATCTCAAATATAAAATATTTTGATTTGTTTAACGCTTTTTTGGTTACTACATGATGTGTTATTTCATAGTTTTGATGTTTTCACTATTATTCAACAATGTAGAAAATAGTAAAAAATAAAGAAACCCTTGAATGAGTAGGTGTGTCCAAACTTTTGACTGGTACTGCATTTTCAGGTCTCTCCAGAGATGTTCGATAGGGTTAAAGTCAGGGCTCTGGCTGGGCCACTCAAGGACATTCAGAGACTTGTCCCGAAGCCACTCCTGCGTTGTCTTGGCTGTGTGCTTAGGGTCGTTGTTCTGTTGGAAGGTGAACCTTAGCCCCAGTCTGAGGTCCTGAGCGCTCTGGAGCAGGTTTTCATCAAGGATCTCTCTGTACATTGCTCCGTTCATCTTTGCCTCGATCCTGACTAGTCTCCCAGTCCCTGCCTACGGCGGCCAGATCTAGGAAGAGTCCTGGTGGTTCCACATTTCTTCCATTTAAGAATGATGGTGGCCACTGTGTTATTGGGGACCTTCAATGCTGCAGAAATGTTTTGGTACCCAGATCTGTGCCTTGACACAATCCTGTCTCGGAGCTCTGTGGACAATTCCTTCGACCTCATGGCTTGGTTTTTGCTGTGACATACACTGTCAACTGTGGGACCTTATATAGACAGGTGTGTGCCTTTCCAAATCATGTCCAATCATTTGAATTTACCACAGGTGGACTCCAATCAAGTTGTAGAAACATCACAAGGATGATCAATGGAAACAGGATGCACCTGAGCTCAATTTTTAGTCTCATAGCAAAGGGTCTGAATACTTATGTAAATAAAAATGTTTAATTTCTAAAAACCTGTTTTTCGCTTTGTCATTATGGGGTAATGTGTGTAGATTGCTGAGGATTTTTATTTAACCAATGTTAGAATAAGGCTAATGTAACAAAAATTTGGAAAAAGTCAAGGGGTCTGAATACTTTTCTGAAGGGCACTGTACATCATGGGTTCCACTCCATCAATGAGTAGTTAATAGTAATGTGATGTCAACACATCTGATGATGTCAGACAGGGCGGGGGCTTATACCTGAGCAAGAGAATTAGCTCGTGTGTTCATACTTAAGCTAAGTCATTTACCGTACATCTGTCCTGTCAACACGTCACACACGGTGGACCGCTGAGAGGACCGCTGAGAGAGGTGAGTACTGCAAGGAATGTGTGTGATCGATAATTTTAAGATGAGAACTGCCTTGCCTGCCATCTATTCATATTGATGACTATAAGCCTTTCGTGTTTCTAGATATGACATGTTTCCTATTAAATCTGCCTTCGCTGTCATACTGACAGAATGTTGTATTTCAATTTCACCAAGGGAATAGAGAACTAGTTTAGACCAGTTTAGTTTGTTCTTTAGTTTTTTTGAATGTGTGTTATTTGTGTGTGTGTGTGTGTGTGTGAGTACGTACGTGTGTGCTTGCGTTTGTGTGCATGAGTCTCTGTGTAAAGCTATGTGTCCTCGGTGTAAGTGTGTGGGTTTCATTGTTTTACTGTGTATACAGACAGGATGACCAGTCTAGAGGAGGTTCCCTTTTAAGAGCCCTCTGGGATCACCACAGGAGCTGGGGCCCCTGGGACGAGAGATGGAGCTGGTTATGGCCCCAGATCTCACCATATCAGACTACCTCCAGATACTACGAGACACTGAGGCTAGTTAAATGGCTTACGGCTATGTGATGTAGTTTTGTGATTATGCTGGCAGGTTGCCTAGAGATTATATGAGACGGGCTTCTGAAGCACAGGGTTTGATTCCCAAGTCCAATGAAAATATATTTGGTGGGATTCTATAAATACTATTTTAGACGCAATCTCCTGCCGTTGTACTCTTGAGCAGGGCAATTAACACCTAAACTGACAATGAACAATCAAGTACACTGCATTCGGGAAAGTATTCAGACCCCTTGACTTTTTCCATATTTTGTTACGTTACAGCCTTATTCTAAAATGAATTAAATTGTTTTTAAAAATCCTCATCAATCTACACGCAATACCCCATAATGACAAAGCAAAAACAGGTTTTTAGAAATGTTGGCAAAGTATTTAAAATAAAAAACATACCTTATTTACATAAGTATTCAGACCTTTTGCTATGAGACTTGAAATTGTGCTCCGGTGCATCCTGTTTCCATTGATCACCCTTGAGATGTTTCTACAACTTGATTGGAGTCTACCTGTATAAATTCAATTGATTGGACATGATTTGGAAAGGCACACACCTGTCTATATAAGGTCCCATAGTTGACAGTGCATGTCAGAGCAAAACCCAAGCCATGAGGTCGAAGGAATTGTCCGTAGAGCTCCGAGACAGGATTGTGTCGACGCACAGATCTGGGGAAGGGTACCAAAAAATGTCTGCAGCATTGAAGGTCCCCAAGAACACAGTGGCCTCCATCATTCTTAAATGGAAGATATAGGATTATTTTATGTATCATTATGGCACATGTAGGGAGATGCCAAAGGTAAAATATAATAAACATGTTTGATATTTTATAATTCAGATACATGCTTAAATAAGGAATATAGACATGTAGAATATGCTGTGTTTTAAATGAATGCATGTGTTCTTTCACAGAGGCTCTCAAACAGTGTGCATTACATTAGTTTTTTTAAGAAGGGGCCTAAGCCACGCAGCCAATAGAATGATAGAATGAGAGGCTTCATATAGAAAAAAAAGCATTCATGACATTTTAGAGTGGACATTGTGTGACAGCTGGACGTTGAAAAAGAAGGGTGGGGCAGAACTAAAATAAGTTAGGAATGTATGCATGTTTTTTCATTTGTGTGTGTATATAAGAGATCTCTAAGCCAGAGAGAGACAGTTGTTCCATGGAGCAAGCTCGGCTTTGTTATGCAATAAAGTCTAATTCTTGGATTCACAAGCTCCGGTGTCTTGAGAGATATTTTTGAGTTGATTATCTATTAGTCAAATATTTCTACAACATAATTGGCGAGCTTGCCAGGAGTTGAAAAATAGGGATCAGAGACGGTGTACATCTGCAGTTGTGAAACGGCTTGGACGGACCATTCAAACAAAAGCGGCCGCTTTTAAGAGGTAAGCCAAGTTCTTACTTATATAGTATAACGTTTGTGTGGTTCGATCCGGGGCTCGGCAACATCTGCAGAAATACCTAGTAGGTCTCTCCAAATATAAGAACCAGAAAATTAGACACTGGGAGCTTTTGAATTTAAAATACATGCTAAATGATGAAAAGCCTCGAGGGTTGCAATAAGTAGAAAATAGTATAAATAGGTCTACCTGGGTTGGTGTAGGTCAGTCATTGTGGTTGAGTGGGGTGGGTTATCTGTCTCGTTTGAGTTGATCATTTGGTCAGTATGAATGCATCTGTTTGACTAAACCGACGGTTTGACGCGTCTTGTACTCGTCAATGACACTCGGTTGTTCGTCTGAACCGTTTCTTCAAAACATTTGATTAAATTGTTCATCCTGCTACTAATTCTGTTTAATCCATTGTGATTTGATAGATTGTGGTCAGGTTGGATGATTCATCTGTCTCATTCGGGTTGCTGAGTTGGACAGTCTGATTGATCTGTTTGAGTCGACTGCTCAACTCGTGCGTTCAATCGTCGGGGTCACTCGGTTACTCATCTGATGCGTCTGTTCGATTCGGTCGATTCATTTGATTCATTTTGCTGATCGCTCTGTCTGGGTCATTTCGACACGGGCGGCTGTCCAGCTGGTTGAGCGATCAGACAATAACATTTTTACATTTACATTTACGTCATTTAGCAGACGCTCTTATCCAGAGCGACTTACAAATAGGTGCATTCACCCTATAGCCAGTGGGATAACCACTTTACAATATTTTTTTTTCTTCTAATTTTTTATTTTTAGGGGGGGGGGTAGAAGGATTACTTTATCCTATCCCAGGTGTTCCTTAAAGAGGTGGGGTTTCAAATGTCTCCGGAAGGTGGTGAGTGACTCCGCTGTCCTGGTGTCGTGAGGGAGCTTGTTCCACCATTGGGGTGCCAGAGCAGCGAACAGCTTTGACTGGGCTGAGCGGGAACTATGCTTCCGCAGAGGACATGTTAAGTCCTTCGAATACCGCTATAAACGTGTAGCGAAAGTGTATCGTTTATAGGCTGCTTAGGTAGGCAGAAATCCTGTGTAATACCACTCCTTTTTCTGTGTTGAGGAAGTGTAACAGAAAAAATAGGGCAGAATTTACAGGTCGCTTAGGAAAGCGTAGTATAAGTCCACGTGTGTAGAGGAAGTGTAACACCTAGGGGGCTAAATAAATAGAAATCCTGTGGATACTGCTTTGGAGAGCTAAAATTAGCACTCCAGAGGTCTGAACGGGCAGGTAGGGCATCATCCTGTGTTGTGGTGATGCCAAAATTAGGTAGGGTCGATCAGGTAAAAAAAGCTAGGTCAGTGGCACTAAGGTACACCCACGAGTTAGCATATTTCAGGTCTCGTCCAGAGATGTTCGATAGTGTTTAAATTCAGGCTCGTCTGCTGGGCCCCTCAGGACATTCAGAGACTTTGTCCCGAGCCACTCCTGCGTTGTCTTGGCTGTGTCTTATTGGTCGTTGTTCTGTTGTAAGGTGAACCTTAGCCCCCGTCTGAGGTCCTGAGCCTCTGGAGCCAGTTTTTCTTCACATCAAGGATCTCTCTGTAACATTGCTCCGTTCCTCTTTTCCTCGATCCTTACGAGTACTCCCATCCCTTCCTACGGCGGCCAGATCTAGGAAGAGTCCTGGTGGTTCCACATTTCTTTCTTCTTTCCGTTAAGAATTCTGTGGGCCAACTGTTTTATTGGGGACCTTCAATGCTGCAGAAATGTTTTTGGTACCCCAGATCTTTCCTTACACAATCCCTGTCTCGGAGCTCTGTGGCATTCCTCCGTCGACCTCATGTCTTGGTTTTTGCTGTGCATACATGTCCAACTGTGGGACCTTATATAGACAGGTGTGTGCCTTTCCACTCAATGTCCACTCATTTAATTTACCACAAGGTGGACTCCATCAAGTTGTAGGAAACATCACAATAGGATGATCAAAATGAAACAGGATGCACCTGATCTCATTTTTAGTCTCATAGTCCAAGGGTCTGATACTTGGTAATCAAACTGTTTAATTTTCTAAAAACCTGTTTTTTCTCGCTTGTCCTTATGGGGTAAAATGTGTGGTAGATTGCTGGGATTTTATTTAACCATGTTGAATAAGGCTAATGTAACCAAAAATTTGGAAAAAGTCAAGGGGTCTGAATACGTTTCTGAAGGGCAAAACTGGTACATCATGGGTTTCCACTCCATCAATGATGTTATAGTAATTTGAAGTCAACACATCTGATGATGTCAGACAGTGCGGGGGGCTTATACCTGAGCAAGAGAAGTAGCTCTCCGTGTTTTCATACTTAACTAAGTCATTTACCGTACAGCTGTCCTGTCAACACTTCACACACGTGGACCTCTGAGAGGACCGGGAGAGAGTGATAATGCAAGGAAATGTGGTGTGATCGATATTTTTAAGATGATAACTGCCTTTCCCTCCAATCTATTTCATATTGATGAACTATAAGCCTTTCGTGTTTGCGAGACTATGACATGTTCCTATTAAATCGGCCTTCCTGTCATACGGACAGAATGTTGTATTTCAATTTCACCAAGGGATAGAGAACTAGTTTAGACCAGTTTATTTTGTCTTTAGTTTTTTTTTGAATGGTGTTATTTGTTGTGTGTGTGTGTGTGGTGTGATTACGGACGTGTGTTGGCTTGCGTTTGTGTTCATGAGCTCTGCTGTGTAACGCTACGTGTCCTTCGGTGTAGTGTTGGTGGGTTTCATTGTTTTACTGTGTAGACAGACACGGATGGACCAGTCTAGAGGAGGTTTCCCTTTTAAGAGCCCTCTGGGATCACCACAGGAGCTGGGGCCCCTGGGACGAGAGATGGAGCTGGTTATGGCCCCAGATCTCACCATATCAGACTACTCAGATACTACGAGACACTGAGGCTAGTTAAATGGCTTACGGCTATGTGATGTAGTTTTGTGATTATGCTGGCAGGTTGCCTAGAGATTATATGAGACGGGCTTCTGAAGCACAGGGTTTGATTCCCAAGTCCAATGAAAAATATATTTGGTGGGATTCTATAAATACTATTTTAGACGCAATCTCCTGCGTTGTACTCTTGAGCAGGGCAATTAACACCTAAACTGACAATGAACAATCAAGTACACTGCATTCGGGAAAGTATTCAGACCCCTTTGACTTTTTTCCATATTTTGTTACGTTACAGCCTTATTCTAAAATGAATTAAATTGTTTTTTAAAAATCCATCATCAATCTACACGCAATACCCCATATAATGACAAAGCAAAAACAGGTTTTTAGAAATGTTGGCAAAGTATTTAAAATAAAAAACATACCTTATTTACATAAGTATTCAGACCTTTGCTATGAGACTTGAAATTGTGCTCCGGTGCATCCTGTTTCCATTGATTCACCCTTGAGAGTGTTTCTCAAACTTGATTTGGAGTCTACCTGTATAAATTCAATTGATTGGACATGATTTGGAAAGGCACACACCTGTCTATATAAGGGTCCCATAGTTGACAGTGCATGTCAGAGCCAAAAACCCAAGCCATGAGGTCGAAGGAATTGTCCGTAGAGCTCCGAGACAGGATTGTGTCGACGCACAGATCTGGGGAAGGGTACCAAAAAATGTCTGCAGCATTGAAGGTCCCCAAGAACACAGTGGCCTCCATCATTCTTAAATGGAAGATATAGGATTATTTTATGTATCATTATGGCACATGTAGGGAGATGCCAAAGGTAAAATATAATAAACATGTTTGATATTTTATAATTCAGATACATGCTTAAATAAGGAATATAGACATGTAGAATATGCGTGTTTTAAATGGAATGCATGTGTTCTTTCACAGAGGCTCCTCAAACAGTGTGCATTACATTAGTTTTTTTAAGAAGGGGCCTAAGCCACGCAGCCAATAGAATGATAGAATGAGAGGCTTCATATAGAAAAAAAAAGCATTCATGACATTTTAGAGTGGACATTGTGTGACAGCTGGACGTTGAAAAGAAGGGTGGGGCAGAACTAAAATAAGTTAGGAATGTATGCATGTTTTTTCATTTGTGTGTGTATATAAGAGATCTCTAAGCCAGAGAGAGACAGTTGTTTCCATGGAGCAAGCTCGCTTTGTTATGCAATAAAGTCTAATTCTTGGATTCACAAGCTCCGGTGTCTTGAGAGATATTTTTGAGTTGATTATCTATTAGTCAAATATTTCTACAAACATAATTGGCGAGCTTGCCAGGAGGTTGAAAAATAGGGATCAGAGACGGTGTACATCTGCAGTTGTGAAACGGCTTGGACGGACCATTCAAACAAAAGCGGCCGCTTTTAAGAGGTAAGCCAAGTTCTTACTTATATAGTATAACGTTTGTGTGGTTCGATCCGGGGCTCGGCAACATCTGCAGAAATACCTAGTAGGTCTCTCCAAATATAAGAACCAGAAAATTAGACACTGGGAGCTTTTGAATTTTAAAATACATGCTAAATGATGAAAAGCCTCGAGGGTTGCAATAAGTAGAAAATAGTATAAATAGGTCTACCTGGGTTGGTGTAGGTCAGTCATTGTGGTTGAGTGGGGTGGGTTATCTGTCTCGTTTGAGTTGATCATTTGGTCAGTATGAATGCATCTGTTTGACTAAACCGACGGTTTGACGCGTCTTGTACTCGTCAATGACACTCGGTTGTTCGTCTGAACCGTTTTCTTCAAAACCATTTGATTAAATTGTTCATCCTGCCTACTAATTCTGTTTAATCCATTGTGATTTGATAGATTGTGGTCAGGTTGGATGATTCATCTGTCTCATTCGGGTTGCTGAGTTGGACAGTCTGATTGATCTGTTGAGTCGACTGCTCAACTCGTGCGTTCAATCGTCGGGGTCACTCGGTTACTCATCTGATGCGTCTGTTCGATTCGGTCGATCATTTGATTCATTTTGTGATCGCTCGTCTGGGTCATTTCGACACGGGCGGCTGTCCAGCTGGTTTGAGCGATCAGACAATAACATTTTTACATTTACATTTACGTCATTTAGCAGACGCTCTTATCCAGAGCGACTTACAAATAGGTGCATTCACCCTATAGCCAGTGGGATAACCACTTTACAATATTTTTTTTTCTTCTAATTTTTTATTTTAGGGGGGGGGGGGTAGAAGGATTACTTTATCCTATCCCAGGTGTTCCTTAAAGAGGGTGGGTTTCAAATGTCTCCGGAAGGTGGTGAGTGACTCCGCTGTCCTGGTGTAGTGAGGGAGCTTGTTCCACCATTGGGGGTGCCAGAGCAGCGAACAGCTTTGACTGGGCTGAGCGGGAACTATGCTTCCGCAGAGGACATGTTAAGTCCTTCGAATACCGCTTTAAACGTGTAGCGAAAGTGTATCGTTTATAGGCTGCTTAGGTAGGCAGAAATCCTGTGTAATACCACTCCTTTTTCTGTGTTGAGGAAGGTGTAACAGAAAAATAGGGCAGAATTTACAGGTCGCTTAGGAAAGCGTAGTATAAGTCCACGTGTGTAGAGGAAGTGTAACACCTAGGGGGCTAAATAAATAGAAATCCTGTGGATACTGCTTTGGAGAGCTAAAATTAGCACTCCAGAGGTCTGAACGGGCAGGTAGGGCATCATCCTGTGTTGTGGTGATGCCAAAATTAGGTAGGGTCGATCAGGTAAAAAAAGCTAGGTCATCCGGCATAGGTGACACCATAAATTGGAGTAACACCGGTCATCCTGAGTAGGTGAACGGGTTAAATAGTTTAAATAAGGGCTTAAAAATTTTGATAAAGTGTTAAATAGAGTAGGTCTGCTCATCTTGTGTGAGTGAGTGGTTTTGCTTTGGCGGCTGTGAGTCATTCAACTGTCTGATTCATTTGGGCACAAGTGGCTGCTCATCTATATGAATGAGAATAATAAGAAATCCTGCAGATAACAGCTCATTTTCTGTGTTGAGGAGAGAAGCTGTGTTTGAGGTCGTTTGAAGTGTCGGTGTTTGGTGGAGAAAGGTTGGCGCACCTTTTCTGGACCGTTACTTGAGTGTAACCTGGTAAGAAGGACGCACCCGGTCTCACACCAAGAGTGAAAGAGTGAAAGAGTGAGAGTGCAAGTGAGTGTGAAAATCTCTGTCCTTGGTGGGGAAAGGTTGGCGCACCTTCTCTGGACCGTTACTTAAGTGTAACCTGGTAAGAGGGACGCACCCGGTCTCACACCAAGAGTGAAAGAGTGAGAGTGCAAGTGAGTGTGAAAATCTCTGTCCTTGGTGGGGAAAGGTTGGCGCACCTTCTCTGGACCGTTACTTAAGTGTAACCTGGTAAGAGGGACGCACCCGGTCTCACACCAAGAGTGAAAGAGTGAGAGTGCAAGTGAGTGTGAAAATCTCTGTCCTTGGTGGGGAAAGGTTGGCGCATCTTCTCTGGACCGTTACTTAAGTGTAACCTGGTAAGAGGGACGCACCCGGTCTCACACCAAGAGTGAAAGAGTGAAAGAGTGAGAGTGCAAGTGAGTGTGAAAATCTCTGTCCTTGGTGGGGAAAGGTTGACGCACCTTCTCTGGACCGTTACTTAAGTGTAACCTGGTAAGAGGGACACACCCGGTCTCACACCAAGAGTGAAAGAGTGAGAGTGCAAGTGAGTGTGAAAATCTCTGTCCTTGGTGGGGAAAGGTTGACGCACCTTTTCTGGACCGTTACTTAAGTGTAACCTGGTAAGAAGGACGCACCCGGTCTCACACCAAGAGTGAAAGAGTGAGAGTGCAAGTGAGTGTGAAAATCTCTGTCCTTGTAAGGGAAAGATTTATGAGGTGTCCACACAAAAGAAAAGTGGACATCAGGATAAATCATTTTATTATTACATAAATAATATAGCTGAGTGATTTAAAGCTAAGATAAAAACACTAGTCAGTGAAAGATTTATGAGGTGTCCACACAAAAGAAAAGTGGACATCAGGAAATATTATTATGATATAAGGAGACTGTCAAATGCCCATTAATAATAAATAAGTTCTAACCAAACAATAATCAAAGAAGCACAAATAGTCTAACAATAAAAGCAAATACTAACATAAGAATAAATAAATAGGAGGAATACTAAAATAGATTAAAAAGGAAGTTAAAAATATAGGCCATAAATATGAATAAAACGGCGGTAGAAATACTGAGTGCCAGGTATCCCTTAGGCAAGGAAGAAATAGCGAAAACATCTGAAAAATGGGCACCAAATGGCCAGAAGGAGGAACATTTGATGTCTCGGTGTGTGAGGAAATGGAAACACTGATAAAGAACCATAAAGCAAAAGACACAGGAAAGAAGAGAAGCGTCAAAAAAGAAAGAGAAAAATAAGTACTCAACATGTTCAAAATGGAAAGAGAAGGATTGCTAAAGAACATGCGAGAAGCCAGAAACATGTTGAGTAAAGATGATGAGAAAACAAACAAAAAGAAAGCAGATTGGTCTGTGGGACCCCCACCATATGTTGGTGGACAATATCCCCAGGTGTCCGGAGTAGTATCAATAAAAGGAGAAATAGAAATGGAAGAAGAAAGACCTTTGTTTACATCCTCCCAAAGGATGGAAAAAGACTAAAAGGAAACAGAAGGAATCAAGCGAAGGGTAGAAATCAAGCCAAATAGATTGGACTGCTATGGAGAGCTGAGGGAAGCATTGGGAAGAATGAAAATGACGAAGAGAGATGATGGAGAAATCTCAGATGAAGAAATGGCAGATATTGAAGCAACAAACGAACAAATAGAGAGAGAAATGGACAGGATGAGGCGAATGTTGAGAGAAAAGGAAGAAAAAAAGAGGGCGCAAAGTGAGGTAAGACAGCATACAGGCAGAGAGCTAGAGGGGGAAGAAGGAGCATCAGCTGAGATATGGGGAGATTGCAATCAAGGTGTAAGGGAAGAAAGTTTGCGCAATAGGAGAACAT